CACCTAGGAGTTGTACTAAGATTTATGTTAACAAAGCTTCAGAACAAAAAAGAGAACTCTTAGATTAGTAATAAATTATATATCACTAAAAAATATTAAAATGAATCATATATCCTTTAGCAAATAAACAAGATTTAATTATTAATCAAATCCAATATATTTTCAAAGTTTGACATGAAATTTGGATATTATCAAATATCTATTAAAGAAATAGATAGATATAAAACTGCATTTGTAGTTCCATTTGGACATTATGAATTAAATGGAATGGAATGTCTCAAAGTCTTAAGAATGCACCTAGTAAATTTCAAGAAATCATGAACAAAATATTTTACTCATATATGAAATTTTCTATAATATACTTAGATGATATACTCATCTTTTCGAAAGAAATAAATCAACACATCCAACACCTTAATAAATACATATAATTAGTTAAATACATGTAATTTGAAAAGATGAGTATATTTCAAATAAAAATAAGATTTATTGGATATGATATTTATCAAGAAACATTTATGACAATACAAAGATCATTAGAATTTGCAACTAAATTTCCTAACAAAATTATAAAATAATTACAAAGATTTATAGGATGTTTAAATTGCATATTTATTTTTTTGCCAAATATTAGGACAATATGTGGTCCTCTATATTCTAGACTTAGAAAAGACTCTCTAGATTGAAGTAAAGAGATGAGTGAAACCATAAAAACAAAAAATTAAGTCATCGTCAAAATTATTCCTTGTCTAGGAATTCCATATCCAAATGCATCCTTCGTAGTAGAAATTGATGCATCAAAACTTGGTTATAGTGGAATTCTTAAACAAGTACATCCTTAGTATATAAAAGAGTAAGTCCTTAAGTATCATTCGAGTACCTAGCATCCTACCCAACAAAAATATTCTACTATCAAAGAAGAAATTTTATAAAAGTGAGGCCCATAAAAATGAATAAAGAACAAATCAAATTTTGTAAATGCATATTTTAGCATGTCATTAGAGAATATTTTGATGAATTTATGCTTTATTTGAATAAGTCTTACATTGATTATGTTCTTAATTATCGCAGTTTAACATGCTAAGGACTTAGTGAATTATTAAGACATTTTGAGCATTAAATGGATGTAATTTGAAGTCAAGCACACTCTTGCTTCCCTTCAAGCACATCCATGCTTGTCTTCTATTATAGTTTGAGGGTGTACCTATTTGAGAATTCTACCACAACCAAGTTTTGATGCATTTATTTCTATTACTAAGGATGCATTTAGATCTAGAATTCCTATACAAGGAATAGTTTTAACTATGGCTTTAATCTTTTTTATGGTTTCACTCATTTCTTCATCCCAAACTAGATGATCTTTTCTAAGTCTAGAATATAGAGGCCCACTTATTGTCCTAATATTTGACCAAAAAAATTGATATGTAATTTAAACATCCTAGAATTCTTTTTAATTGTTTTTCCTCTTTAACTTTGTTAGAAAATTTTTTGACAAATTCTAATAATTTTCTATTGGCATAAAAGTTTCTTGATAAATATCATAACCAAAAAATCATATTTTTGTTTGAAATATACACTCATCTTTTTTGCTTATATTACTAACTCATTTTGTTTGAGGTATTAGATGTGTCGATTTACTCTTTTCGAAAAGATTAGTACATCACCTAGGTATAACATAGAAAATTCTATATATGGGTAAAATATATTGTTCATAATTTCTTAAAGTTTACTAGCCGCATTCTTAAGACCTTGAGGCCTTACATTTCATTCATAATGCTCAAATGAAACTACAAAATGCAATTTTTTATCTATCTTTTTCTGCAACAGATGTTTGATAATATATATATTTTATGTCAAACTTTAAAAATATATTAGTATTAGTTAATCTTTTAATTAAGTCTTATTTATTTGGTAAAGAACATCTTATCCATTTTAATATTTTGTTTAGTAGTTTAGAATTTATTACTAATCTAGAAGCTTTCCTTTCTTGCTTTGAAGTTTTTATTCAGTCAATTATATTTATTTTATTTGATAAAATTGTTGAACAATTAGTAAAATTGAAGTTAAAAAGCTTTACTACAATATTTGAAATTGCAAGCAAATATATAAAAATTTAACTAAGTTGAAAATTGAATTATATCATTGATTACATAAATAAAAGCATATACCTATAGTTATGTGCTACATTTTTTATAAGATGATAATGATTATGTAAAGTTACCTCTGAAATTTTTAAATATTATAAATACTTCACATATTATTTTTAATTAAAAATGTATACTTACTTTAAAAATTATGGAATATAAAAATTTAAAACAAATACAATTTTGAAGTCAATAGCAAAAGTAATAAATAAAATAATATTGTGATTTCTTTGCTTTCATTTGTAAAGTTTTTAATAAGAGGAGGAAGTACTTTATTTTTATTGTTTCAATATTTTCAAATTCAAAAAAAAAAAAGAATTTGGACAATATAAGTATCAAAATATAAACAAAAAATGACTGAAAAATAATAAGTTGTTTAAGTGAATATCTAATATAGAAATACCAAAATTACCAAATAAATGAAAAAAATTAATGTTTATATTATAAATTTATAATATCTTGTTATAGTTTCTCAAATCATACAACTTTAATTTTTTTATGGGATTATTACAAAATTTATGTTATGCAACGTATAAGAATTATTACCACCTCATTTTCAAGTAAGGTAAATTTTGTCACACATGAATTTAATACATGACTCATACAAGTTGGAGATGACAAGCTACTAATAATTAGTAAAGAAGAAGACATTTTTATATGGATAAAAATTTCAAGCCACTGTCTTAAGAACTTAAGCCAACGAGGGATTCACTTAAACAAATTATTGATAGTACATATCTAAATTTTCAATAATGAGATAAAAAGATATCTTAAAGAAAAAGTCACATTCTTTTAAATAACATATTAGAATTTTTTTTAATACTTTAAATTTTAATAGTTTTCTCCACCATTGCTTGTGACTCAAAGAAAAAATGTCAACTATGTGACTTAAGAACATAAATCACACATTAATAATGTACACAGGAATAAGACTCTTTATCATGCATTTAAGAGAGCAAATAATTGAAACAAAAATATAGAAACATAAATCGCACATTAGGATGTCCATCTTCTTACTTTTTCATATTTGTTGAAACTTAAGAGATTGTAACTATTTATTTAATTCACACTTAAAAATATGAGACTCTTAAATCATAGATTTAAACCTATAAATAAAACATCTCATTTATATTGGAAATGTATGAAATAAAATTGAGATTTTTTCTTTTTTTCTAATTTTATTCTCTCTATTTTCTAATTTATCGATTATAATTTTACGTTCATTTTATTAAAAAAAATATAATTTTTTTAAAACTAAATATGCATAAAATGCACTAGTTAGCAAACTAAACATACATAATAAGAAATATTTTATAGTTTTTACAAAATTAGTCACACCACATCATCCATGAGCAATTTTGTAAAATTGATTGTAATGTGTACCCACCAATATTTGTACTTTGTGTTTGAATATGGTATTTTTATATTGTTATAATTTATGTTTTGGATAGTAAAATAAAGCAATTTTAAAATATTACTAAAATTGAATTGAATAATGTTTATATCAAATAAAAAGAATTTTAGATGACTTATTTTTAAAAGAAGTTTAAAAATCTTTCTATTATGCTTAATATTTTGTTATAATAATTCATAACTCACTCATACTTAACTCTCACCTTAAGTATCATTCATTATTATTTTGACCAAAATCTCATTTTGATTCTTAAGATAATAAGCGTTAAACATTTTAATTTTTGAAATTTAAAAATATTATGTTCATTTTTAACTTCTATTTTACTAAGCATTTTAAGTCATTGGACCTAAACATTGTTAATAGATAATAATAAAATATTGACATGTTATATTAAATAATATATATAATTGATTATGTGACAAAAATAATATTATATATGGTATAATTTTATCCCACACTTCTTTAACTTTGAATATTAAAGTTTAACTTTCTTCAATTCTATGCTCAAACTTTTCCATTGTCTAATTTATTCAAACCTTTCTCATAATCTTTTACTCAAAAAAATACTAAGATACAAAGATAACTCTTTTCAATTATAGCTGAAGAACCATATGTTGTAAATTATATTGTAGCCAATAACATATTTCAACTAGATAGCGAGAAACAAAAATCTTGAGTTAAGACGATAATTTTAAATTTTAAAAGACTAAATATCTAAACTTATTATTTCAATTACTAAAACAAGGATTAATCTTCTTAGTTTTATATTATTTTTAATTAAAAAAACCTCCATCCAAATACAACTATAAACTCACAATACGATCATTTTCAGTTTAATTTTGCGACAGTACCCTGCATCGTCAACAGGGGGGAAAAAACTTATAAAATTAAAAGAAAATATTATTTCCCTTCAAACTAAACATGTGCCTGTGTTTTAATAGTCGTGTGCTCCACACTTGAGGATCAGCCATAGGAGCCCAACGGATGATAGATTTATATCGTAATTTCCAAAATTGAAATTCAGGGGTCGAATTACATGTTATGAAGTTCTAAACAAATTCTGGTTCGTAACATCCATATCTCAACAACTGTGTGTGTTCCTAAGATGTCGTAATTAGGGGTACATTATTCTGAAAGAAAAACATTCTTCCATTTACTGGATGGTCTATTAAGAGAGAAAAACATGCATTTTTTAGTGTAAGAACAATCGTGTTCGTAACTCAATGAACCAGACTTCAATATAGTTTCTCATCACCGAAATGGTGTCTATGTAAAGGAGAATTAGCAGAAACATACTCAACAAGAAATGAAAGAAAAGAGAACCGTAAACAAATCGAGGCTCTAAAATGGAACAGCAAAATTAATGTATTACACGACACAAAATAGATTGTTTTGTTCTTAATATTCTTAATATAATAATAGCACTCTTACATGTCTTTGTTTACCATCACAACAAATTCAAGTATTTTTCATAAAAATTTTAAGGCATTCAGAGAACATTTTGTGTGCGATCACTAGTACAGTATTTTGATGGGAGAGAATTAACAGAAACCAGGAAGGGGAAATTTTGATGTTCCCATACATGATTCGCATATAAGGCCAATCATCTAGTATTCCTAATTTATTATTCGTATGAAAATTGGACTACAAGCGTGGAAAAAATTGTTAATGAAAAATTATATACACACGCATATATACCTTGTGTGTTTAGAAGAACAGAGTCAATAACAGCCTGCAAAAGTAAGATTCGGCGGTCAAATGATGATAATTTTACTAGCTCCTCATTAGTCATTATCGTCTGGTATCAATTAAATCATTGACTTGCGACTTCATGCATCTGTCTATTAAGTCAGCAAGAGATCTTATCAGTGACTTTGGGTCAAATATTGTACCCACTTTAGGATCTCGTACGGAGTCAACAACCATCTGAAAAAATTATAATTGGAAGATGATCACAAAGTAAGTAAATAGCATCATAAAATGACAATGGATCTTGTACCAAAATTAGAATATACAACTCCATCATGAATATGACCGTGTTAATTAAATCATTAATCCGTAACAGTATCAAAGACAGCCATAATTTTCTCATATATGAGCACATAAAGTCCAACTTTGAGCAAGCCAATTGTATAATGTCACTATCATGACTCTGTCTGTCAGAATAACACATTTAAACTGTTTTTGATCCACTCTCAATGTAAAAACTTTTTATATTAAACATCTAACCAGGTATTATGATAACAACATCAAGAGCAGCCAAACTCCTACAACGATGTCGTAACACATGATTGAATCTTAGTTTAAACGATTCACATTGATAGTAAATCAAATTTAATTCTTAGACAAATGCCAGATATAATCATGAACTTGCCATCTTAGAATACATCTTTGTGCGAGACAGAAGAGATTCTATCCACTTAATAATTTCCACAATGGACAGATTTAAGAGACATACCACGTCAAATATTCCTTGGGCGGCCAAACAGTCAACATCAACTGAAATTTCTCCATCTCTTGGCACCAAAAGGGTATTGATATAATCACTTGGCTGCACCAAATACAAACTGTACATAAATTACTTTTATTTCTTCCTTTTACGTACACTGAATGCTTCATGCTGTATAAAAGGAAGAAAAAATTTAGAAAACCCTAATGTGTCAGGGCAGACACTATTAAGAAGAATAAAATTTGTGCACGTATTAGAAAACAATAAGAATTAGAAAACTAAAATAAAAATAAGGAGAGGAAGTGCACTGCACTTCACTTTATACACCAATTAATTCTGAGGATAGTAATGATTCTTGGAAGTGAATAAAATTTGTCTGAAAAAATAGAAAAATACAATTTTCAAATAGCTTTGGCAATACGGAAAAAGGGTAACTTATAGAGTTATCAAAGATAAAGAATATATTAATTATAGAATGCGTAAATTCCTCATTGATGGGATATATTCAGCTTGAAAGAGAGGAGGAAAGTGAAATTTGTTGAAATAGATCAATCAATCATTTTTTGACTCCCCTTTTCAACGAGATAAAAAGGTATTCAAACTATAATATTGGCTCTCTTTAGAAAGTCGTGCATATCAAATGCTTTATTTTGAACTAGAATCAATATAGGCTCAATTTCGGTAAACTTTCAGATAAGTCTTTATATGAGAAAAAAACAATTTATGCTTCTCTATTTTGATAAGTTCTCTCATTTAACTTCTCTAAAATTTCAAGAGATAAGTTGTTTCTAACTTATGAAAAATGTTTTATTCATTTTTTATATTGATCTAAAATACTTTTCTAGAAGTTTGCCTAAACTAGGCCATTATGTTTTTTGTTTGACACCAAGTAGATTCAAAAGAAGAAACTCTCACAAGATTCTGTAAGCGGTTGCCAGGTTGTCCATATTTTCGATTTAGAGCATCTGTAATGGCAGTTACAAAACAAGAAGCTGAAAACCCATCAGTCTCCCGGTCACGTGTGCCATTTAACATAAGTACCTACCATTTTTTCTTCAATTAAATTAGTGAAATCAAGCTGAAAAAGTAGAATGTCTAAGATTGCCAAATCTAATCCAACATGACATGACATCAAAATAACAGATACAACAGTCTGAATCTCATGCATAGGAGCTTTTGTATCTAGAAACATGAGCTTAGCAAGCTGGAAAAATAAAGGCATGGAACTTGGTGAGAGCATTGGACTAATGCCCACATGGACAGGACCAGAGATCTCTGCACGTATTAAAAGACATTAGCTTATGACCTATTTTGCCTCAATGTGCAGCAGTCAAGCTAATGTTAGACCACTTAGCAACTTTACTTCTTCCAAGGAAGGGTCCAAGATTCCATGTAAACTAACAAGTAATTTGTCAAGCATAAATTTCTCTATTATCATAGGGTAGAAGGGCTACCACACATTCTACAAGTAACCAAACAAAATGTGAAAAGTAACATAACAAGGAAATACCTTGAGGCAGGACCTTGAAGAAATAATCTCCCCAATTCCCAGTAATACCTACAATAATTAGCAAGTCAGTAAACAGCTAAAAGGTGAGCCACCTTGTCATAAAGAATGAAATCTAGATATTGTTCCAACAAATTACATATTAATCAAGTAAAAAATGACTCAATAAAATGCTGGAAGAGTTGAACAATCATGCTTTCAATTTTGTAGACACAGAATCTCACTGCATTCACGACTGCTCAAATGTTTTAATACCAGTAGTTTTCAAATATATATAATCATCAATGTTGTCAATAGCAAAGGTCAATACTACCAAATGTGATCACAAACATGAACAAAAATAATGGTAAGAATATTTACCAATGAGGGGCAGATTGAAGTAAAAAGAGAGCCTATGCCATACACAATGCAGTCCACATTCCTTAGTTGCTCCAATACAGTCAAATTAACTGAGGGAAATACCTATTCAAAAAAGAGAAAAAGAACTTCCAATTAAAAATTATTTGTAAATTTGGAACCAAATGGCCAAATTCATTTTTGGATTTCCAACAGTAAGACAAGCAAATGAAAAAGCTAGTGTGTATTGATATTTTCATAATGCAAGCAAACAAATAAAACAGCACCCACCTTAAATTCAAAATACAAGTTGCCTACTACCCTACCTTAGCAGAATTAGATGTAGTTAGCTCTCCATGTTATAACCCATCAGGCTATTGGCCTGGTGGTCACCCATTTAGTAACAAGCAGGTATTTCCCCCTGCCCCTAGTTCAAGTTTGAACAGCAAGTACACTAAAAAATAGAGCCTTGTTATAGTACAAAAATGATAATTCCAATAAAGAAGGGAAGTTGGACTGCATATGTATCATTAGAACGACTCTCCTCTGCATCAGGTTCTCTCATTGACATTCAGTTAAAATAAAGGCTTTTAGTTTATTGATATTTGTTTACCTGTTGCTTTTCTTTCAACAGAGCATATCATATCCTTTGTCTTATATGGCTTCTTTTTCTTCTAACATCAACTAAAGAATAAATGCATTTTTTTATTCTAATATTGTGTTAAATACTGTGCAGAAAGACAGAATACGTACCCATGACTCCATGCCAGTTAATGGATAACTTCCCTTCTTTCTTTCTACAAATTTTTCATTTACAATAAAAAGAATTAAATTAAAGCATTCCTTGGTTGCATACTTGCATCTTCCATATAACCCATATCTTTTGCCTATCATTGATAACAATGTGATAGGATACTGAGTAGGGGCAGTAGTATAAAAGAGAGTGATAGGCCTGCAGAAGGAGAATTAGTGAGGCCCAAGGTGTGGCAGGTTTACACGAGGAGGAAGAAGGTGGGCCCTTCAACTAATGATTAGTTAGTTAGAAGGCTATGACATGTTATGGGAAGAGATTGTATTGGGAGAGGTAAATTGATGGTGAGTTAGTTAGAGGAGAGAGAATCTCTGAAAGAGTCACTGACTCTGGAAAAGCTATGAATACATTGTATAGCATTTTTGCTCATTCATACGCATTCAATATTATACAGTACTGTCGTTTGATTATATTTTTTTGCTCTGTCATCTGTTCCTATTACAATGCATAGCTAGATGCAAGAGATATATATGACAATTGACTAATGTAAACAAACTGTGAAATTAGTAGGCCCAACAAGGCTCAGAACTTACCTCGTGGAGCAAATTCTTTCCCTCACTTGACATGTAGAACACCCGTTTTATTTTTGAAGGAAGTGCTGGAGCTGAAGAGCTTCCCTACCCATGATATTATAAAATTTCAAAAGAAGAGAAATACAAGACTTTTACGTCAGGCACCAGCAGCACAGTGAAAGATCTCAATCAAGTGAATCAACAAGTTACAGACAGAACTACTTACACTAGATGAACATATCAATCACTATTATGAAATAACTAATTAGGGGTGTGAATAAGAAAACTATTTCTATATGTTGAGAAAGAAAAAAGAAATGAGAAGACATAGGATAAATTTGTGTTGGAATACACAGCAGAGCTATCTATTTATAATAATGCACAATGTTTACATAATATTATATAATATCTCATGATATTTTGCTATCTAAAATTATGCTATCTATGTAGTTTTCTTATTTACATAATTATTTTAATTACATTATTCTCAACACTATGCCTCAAGTTGGAGCATAAAAATTAAATGCAGTGTTTGTTACATATATAACTTATACAAGGCTCCCTTAAGATTTGGTAAATATATCTACCAATTGAACATTAGAGTTGAAAAATCAAGTAATAATATCTCCAAATAAAATCTTTTCTCTCTAATGAAATAATCTATCTCAATATGCTTGGTGCTCTCAACAAACACCCAACAATTAAAATTTCCAAATGTCAATCCAACATCAACACTACATCTGCGCACACCCCACATCATTACTGACCTAAAAATAACATTACTATTACTGTTGATTGTTGAATCCCCATGAAGAAGTGATCAATTTCTTTCAATAAGAATCTCAAAACTATATAGGAGCCTTTATTGCAGGAAAATTTCTTCCATATTAGTAGGATTTTAAGCAAACCAACATTGGGGTAGGAATAATATCACAACACATACGCTGAAATACCTTCTTAATAAGTTCCATTGTTCCACTGGTGGGATGAGAAATTTCATTTTGTCCCCGGATAATAGTTCCATCCTATATATTAGAGAGTTAGAGAACAATATAGGATATTGCAACAACTATTAAAATAACAGGTCAGTCATCTTTGTGAATTCCTATATATCAAGTTCTTTTGACAGGAAACGAATAAATTTCAGTTCAGAAATCAAAATAGCATTAAAACTCTGTGAAGCAATAATTACATGGATAAATAGATATATAACATACCCATAATTCACACCCTAATGTAAGTCTGTCATTGGTTGAGATCACAGGTAGAACCAGGCTTTCAGGAGGAATATCTGAAACCCGCGAAAATAGAAATATTGCAGCATCCAAGGACTGAAAAAATATGCGTGCTCCTGCAAAAAAGAAGTTCCCAATGCTGCAACTTTATAAAAGTCAGTTACATTGCTTGTGTCATGCACCAAAATAGTCATTTAGCAGGATTTACTATTATCAGTTTAATTTGGACATAAAACCAGCTTGGCAAATACCCATTTATCCCAAAGTAAAACAGAAGTTGCATACACAATAGATTACAATTTGAAAAACAAAAAATATAACATCAGCAGCAACAAGCAATTATTCATCAATCTCAGGAGAAATATATCTTGAATACATATGTTCTTCCAGGGTAGAAAATGCCAATTGAGTTTTAATGCCATACTTACAGAAGAGAATTATACTCTTCCAAAGCCTGCAAGGATGCAAGCCTTCAAACTAGGGGTCACAAAACAAAAGAAAGAGGACAATATGGTGAAGCAAGAAATAAGTAACCCTATCAGTCATGATGTCTTGTTAAGTTGTTTCAGTGCAGGAAGCTAAGGTTTTTCACAAGGTAAGATTGTGGATTGCTATTGTAGCCTATAAGAATATGCATTGGGCATTTTACCCACTGAAAGTTTTAATCCTAGAAAAGAAAAGTCAAATACATTACATATACTTGTTATTGACATGACAGGTGTATGTAAGGTATTGACATGACGCCTATGTAAGCCATTGACATGACATAAATTGAATTATGAAATTAATCATGAAGCAGGCCACGGAAAAATACAAGACAACACAAGAGAAAAACACAAGCATATATATTTCATTTGAAATTTCTCAAATAGATTTGCTTTACAATAAACCTAACATTGTTCTGAACCAGTCACTAATGTCTCATGACTCTTGTCATTAGAAATATGAATGTGGAATTCACAAATCAACCCACTTGGCAATTATTCCAAAATCTAGAGCTTTTAATCATCCCCATTCCCCACTAATGGAAAGAGAAAGAAGCAACACAACAACTAATGGCCATTAGGCATCAAGCCTGATCTGCTTCTTCAATGCAATGGGATTCCACTTTTGTCAATATAGCATGATTTATATCATTAAAAAAAAATATCTTATTTATAGGGAGAAAAAAATTACAGGAAAAAAACACCACAGCAAGCATGTTGCGGAATTAGAAATAAAGGACCTGCCATTGCTGAAACAAAATGATTCTTCAGCCCGGCAGAGAATCTGTGTAAAGACCGAAAAGAAAGTCCAAATTTAATGTCAAATTATCAAAAAATCCAAAAGATTGAAAAACCTTGATAAAAAGTAAGTATCATAATGATTATTGTAACAATCATAATAATATATTTCAGATAAAAACAGGAAAAGAAAAATGTTACGCAAGTGTATGTGCGTGTGTGCATGTACGCTTATGTATAATTAAGACCAGATATCTTAAGAGCATTACCAAAAGCAAACCTTTCCATTCCTATTTTGACCATACACAGACTTCATTGAGGTTTAGCAATATTATATCCCATACTGTTCCCTTTTTATACTCTACAATGATATGCCACAATTGATATGATAATGTAACACTATGAACCCCTTTCATTAATACAAATCATCACTGATTTCTTATGTTATTATATGAATTGAGATTTGAGAGAGGTCGGTACAAGGTCAAACAGATAGCTGTATTGGGGTGCAATATCGTTAAACATCAAAGGGAAAGGGAGTAATTTGACCCAAAATAAAAGGACCACTGGCATGATATGCAGTAAAATACTACACTCTAAGAAGCAATACCAATTACCAAGTACCAACATGTCAAAAATGAATGATTGAAGTATAAATAATGAAAAAACCTGCATTTATAACTAAAAGTACATAAGAAATATTTGTAATAAAAAAAAGAAAACAGATCATTCAAGAGGCAAACAAGAAACAATCATAACTAGCCTCAGTTTGTTAGTCCAATTCACCTGATTTTGAAAATAAACCAGAAAAGCTCGAATAGTCTCTCTATAGGGTTTTGACACACCTTTCCATAAAAAGTGATCGCCTTCCACAATAGTGTACCTTTATAAGTCACACGGGGATGAAGTTAAATCTTTCTTAAAAATAATGATGCAGACAAAATATAATGCATAAGAACCTTTTCAAAATAACTTATTTTTCAGAATTCTAAACACATAGTGTCTGTTGACTCTGTTCAGCTTAAAGTTGAGTAGAATTGACTTTAATGGAATGGATTTTGAACCATTGAAATGTGATTGGGATGGGTGCCTAAATTAACATGAACCACTTGTTTATTAGAATTTGTATTTTCATTGGAAAGTTTAAGAATTGATCTCTTTAATTTAAAATAACAGGGCCTTGTATATATCCCTCTAGTCCTTTTTACAAGAAATAATTTACATTTTCGTAAGAATTAATTGTTGTAATATTTTTATACCCTTATTTATCGTGTGATTTATGTTAATAGGACACTCACTCATTACTCATATAAATGAATATATATATATATATATATTAGAAATCATCACCCAACTTAGCAGTTAGCAGACTATTAACTAAATCTGCCCATCCCAAGACAGCAACCCTTTAAAGCAAGTAGACGAAAAAGGAACGAAGCCATCCATAATTGGGGGGGCAAAAAGCATTAAGCACGCGGCAGCACAAGTAAGTATATGGTACCATTCTGATTTAGCTTGCAGTGGGTCGATTGGTAGACGATGACCAAGCAAATTTCGAACCGCAAGAGCCTCAGCAGTACTTTGATCAGACAACCTCAGACACCTAGAACGTATGTCTCCAACCGCAGGACCCCCTGAAACATACGCAACCCAATCAACCAAATCACTGAAAAACATAACTTCCCTCACCCTCAAAATTTGATTTGGCGAGTCAAAAAAAAAGAATTCCCCCAAATGCAGAAACACCAATAATGAACATTACGCAATACCGAGAACACGAACAATCTCAGCTGTACTTCCACCATCGTCGGAAACAGGGAGAACATGAGAGACGCGGGTGGAGAAATTCTTTAGCTCTTCGACGACGCCGTTGAAGGCAGTTCCTCCGGAAAAGACTAGCAATGCAGGCTGTGGGTGAGTAGGGTTAGGGTTTGAGTAACAGCGACGATGATGACCGTGTTGTGAGGGAGTGGTCGCCATTGGAGGAGAAGAAGGTGGAGAAGCGAGGATCCTGGTGGAGCTGGAGAAGGTGGGAGGAAGGTTATTCCAGAACGTGGGACCCAAGAATGTGTCCACCATGTTCGCAAATCTCGTGTTTGTGTACACCTTACGTTTGTGATTGTGTTCAGAACGGACTATACTATGTTGTGTCACCTCCAAATTGCATTTCTTTTTCTGGTTTTATGGCATTTTTAATAATTTTATCAGAATCTATCTATATATATAATATATGTTATATTTTAAACAGATTTAAAAAATTTGGTTCTAATTTCGACGTATTATATTTTATTTTAAAAAAGTGATGATTAGTGAAAAAAGAAAATTTGTGTAAGGATACATCTAAATTATTTTTCCTAATTTGCAAAAGAAAAAGTGAGAAAAAGAAATTATATTGACAAAAATGCATTAATTTTAATTTTATTTTATTTTATGATAAAAATTTAAATACTATTTAATATAAAGTTTTTTTAACTTGTCAACATTCGCATAGGATAAAGTCATATAAAATAAATTGTAATAAAAAAATTATAATATTTAATATTATCAATGTATTAAATAACATTAATAAAAAATTAATATGAATAATTTTTTTATCCTTTATAATGTTACACAAGTTAAAAAAAATTATAATATAATTATATTTGTTCTTATTTTTATCTAATTAAATAAAGACTCAAGAATAAAATATAAGTATTTATAAATAAAAAAATTTATAAAAAAATATACAATTATTATATTAAAGTTATAAAATATAATAAATATTTCTATTTTTAATAAAATTTTATTATTATTAGCTATTTATTTTCAGTTTTAAGAACTGAAATTAATAAAATCTTTAGATAAATAGAGAAAAAATTTAATTTTTCGTTATTGTCTTATTTCTTATAATTCAAATAACTTAAAAGCATATTAATTTTTACTCATTTCCCCTTCTCATATGCGATTAAAATGTGACAAATTTTACTGTCTCTTATAATAAAAGCATTACAACTTAATCGTATATTTATCAAAACAAATAAGTTGATGTGTATTGTTTTTTTGGTAATTTCAAATCAACTATTCCATGCCTTTATTGAAGTGGGTTTGGAACCACTTGTGATGTTTTATTGGTCAGAATGGCCACGGTGTTGAAACGAAATTTATAATATTAGTTTGAATTCCTAATATTCAACAATTTTCTGTCATTGGAAACTTTTCATTTACACATGTCAACATATACAAATGTTGTAGAAAGAAATGTCAAGGTGACATTTTCACGTTCTGTTTCTATATTTTTTCACCTTTTTGTTCGATAAAGGGATACCGTCAATGGGTGGTGCCAAAGAATAGCACATAACATGAAGGCCTAAATTGTTAAAGCTAAAACTGAATCAACTTACAATTCAAAACGAAAAAAGAAAGAAAAGCCCTTAGTAAGGCAAACTCTTGGAACTTGTGCTGATAATCAATGACTTCAGTTTAGAAGATTCCCCAGCTGCATTTGCTCTCTGTGTTATTATTTCCATATTCCTATGCAAGCTTTGTTTCACCAAACTCTTCATCATTTTCTTCCCTTCTTTTGCATCTCTTTGATTTATGGGTGATCCCATTGCAAATCTTGGCGTTTGTGGACCAGAATGTGGCCCCATTTTTGTTTGCCTTTCATCCTTAAACCATTGTAATAGTTTCTGTGCTCTCTTCTGAGCTAAAGGGCTCCCCAATAAAACCACTTCAAGAAGTACATGAACAATCCCACCTTGTGCCATTTTCTCTCTTTGCAATGAACTTTGATGTGCTAGAATCATTAAAATATAAACTGACAACTCTTGGCATTTGGGTTTGTCTTCCCATGACAAGATCTCAATAAAGCTTTCTGGCACCATTGAGCTGTTCTCTATTGCTTTCTTTCCCATCAAAGTCACTAACAAGTTCCCTAGAGTGGCAAGTGCTTTCTCCGAAATATCTTTTACCAAGGACAATTCCAAGAGGATAGGGACAACACCACTAGAAACCAAAGGGCTTGCATTCTCTAACACAGTTGATAGGTTGTATAAGGCACCCAAACACAATTTTTTTATGTCAAAACTTGAGCCTATCTCAAGAATACTTCTAAGTATTGGGATAAAGTCTAATGAAGCAAGAGGAAATTGGGTATTTGCTAAAGATGACAATGACAAAAGCAACTCAGCACATTCATTTGTTGATTCATCTACAAGGTCGATTGTCCTAGGCAGCTTGGATAATATTCCAGCCTCCACTATCAAAGCCTTGTTCCTGAAGAAAACACGTAATAGACACGTCAGGTAAAGAATCAAAGCATGTTTCAACTCAGTCAAAGTTAGGTCAGAAACAAATATTTGATTATTTTCTCAAAGTCAGCATTAACTAGTCCAAAACCCAACTCTCCACTATCATCATCCTACCATCTTCAATTCATTTTTTCTCCGTTTGATGGGAATGATGCAATTTGTGTAATAAATTATAAGAAGGCCAAACCAACTAAATTAAAAACATTATTTATAGAAGAGTGAAGTCAACGAGAATCTGAAGTTAATACCCGTGTTGAAAAATGAAGGTCAACAAAAGACATAAAATTGTCTAAAAGATCATAAAGGAATCTGATCAACTACCCTATATTTTGTAAATCAGTTTTTTATAATTTTAAGACAAAAATGTCGCTTCAAGATGAACTTTGTCCCCTCGTAGCTCATGCTATAACCCAGCAACTCAGTTGACACTCAGCGCACATTTTGGTGATTTAATATTAATTATGTTTCTTCCAACTAATACTAGCATGCACATTAAGGCATGATGCTACAGTGGGATTTGGGCAAATTTGATCCGAAAACATTGGCTAAATTTCATTCTCAGATTTTAATGCAAGTTTAATTAGTTTGATAACTTTCATGCTTCTACAGCCTGTAGGGGAGATGCTACTCTAAATGCCTACACCCCCCGTGATGTCTTTGCCTCTGTTTGATGTGTTAATTTCTTTTTTCCCCGTGAAATGTACAGAGCAATTTGATTGTGCTTACTGTGGAGTCATGAACCAAACCCGCCAAGGCCAACCGCCACTTTGTATTCACCGATCTTGTCCTTGCTCCCCAAAAGTCAAAATGAGCGATTACTCAATCCTCACGATGGCTCCACTAGCTAACCAGTTTCTTTATAAAATATGATTATATATTTGTCCTCATCAAAAACACTACCGCAAATAAAAAGACAACAAAAGTATGACTATGATAAATAAGAGTTTAGTACTAATTCATGCACTTTCAGCTCTAGTTAGTGGAGCTTAACCAATTTTACATTTTCAATTTTAGTTTCCCTATCATTTCTTCTCTCAAAATATGTTATCCTAAAACAACACTTGCACGGTTTAAAGTTTTAAACATTCATTTTAGGAAAATGTTTATGGATCATTAACAAGAGATATCTTTAGGTGTTTTTTTAAATGTGTATATAAAAATAATGAAAAACAAGAGATATAAAAGTCATGATATACGATGTTAAATACGGTATTTCAAATATTAAAACTCTTCATTTTATCTTTCTGTGCCATTGCATGGACATCTATTCTGCGTATATGAGTATATGTTAGCGACACCCAACTATTTAGACTCTTCAAACTCATCTCATGGAGAATCAACTCAACATTTCAACCAATAAAATCAAAGAACTTAATAAATCAATCCCGGGGTTTCAAATTTGAATCAAACATAGTTTGACACCTTAAGACACAACTTTATATCGTTGAGCTGCTGCTCCTTATTGATCTTCTTGAAATCATGGTTTTGGGAAAAACTTAGTCTCACGTAGCTCTTGCCCAAACCATGGTTTGAGACTTAAAACTCAAAACCAAACACTTAAGACTATCAAACAGTAAAAAACAGAGAAGTTTATGTGGCAAACGTTCATAACAAAATTCAAAAAGACACGAAGAAAGAACATAGGAGTTGCAAAACTTACGAGTAAGTTCCATCAGCTAGGTTGATCAACGCCGTTAACCCTGCTCGCCGGCGACTAGCCACCGGTGATGCCACCATAGATACCAACACCGGCACCACTCCAAGTTCTGTTATCAACTTTCTAACCTTCACACCCTCTTTAGCTAACTTTTCAATCTCCTTCGCTGCAACCTCCTTCTCTTCCCAACTTCCAAAGTGAAGCATCTTCACTGTCCTCTGCAACAAGATTGAAGACTCTTCCTCCTCCTCCTCCTTGTGTTTCTCCATAACTTGAACTACTTCAATAATTTCAACTTTGTTGTTGTGTTCAGTTCTGCTTTTAGCCATGTCAAACCGATCAGAGGGGTCACAACGCTTTGTCGTTGCTTTGGATCGGAGAAACCGTCTGAACCGGGTAAAGAACCGAAGCTTTATGTTAGATAACACCCAGATAGAAGAAGAAGAAGACATGTTTGAGAGAAAGGAGAAAACAAAGCGATATATTGAAAAAGTGTGTGTGTGGTGTTTGGTGTTTGGTTCGTGTGTAATTTCGTTTCTGCTTCTGACTTTGGAAACAGAGAGAGGGCAGAGGAAGAAGTAAGAGAAAGCAAACCAATGAGACTATTTGAAAGCGCTCTATGAACTTAAAACACAGGGGAAGCACAGAGCACATGCGGAAAACATTTTAATGTAACGGTGGATTATGATATAAGATCTCAAGTTATTCATTTATTAATGGAATTTATGCATCGTTTGTTTTAAGTAAAAATATTTCTATTTCCGTACCTAAACTTCAAAACTTGATAGAAGAATAAGTGCAAATTTAATTATTTATGCGGTCGTGACTATATTTGAACTAACATATTATATAAATAGCATAATTTATAAAATAATTGTAGATAACAGTTCATGGTTTATGTCGTCATTTTGGTAGATAAAAATTACTTGGTAATTGGTACAATACCACTGACGTCTAACATTGAGTCTTTCTCTGCCAGTGTTTCACAATCTCAACCTAATTAGTCTATAAATTAGTGGAGATGAAATATTAGTAGTTTAGGACCTATCATATGTCTTTACCAAATTCAATTTTAGGCACTTTCTTGGGTGTACATAAAATGGGGAAGCCTTTGTTCAATGGTCCCAAGTAGGCTGCATAATATGACTTGGCATTTTCTTCATTATAAGAGACAACAACCAACTAAATTTAGACTTGGCTTTTGATGTAAACCCACATCCATTGCATGTGAGAATCAGGGAAACCCAGCCTACATGTCCCCCCATGGAACCATGAAATTTGGGGCAGTGCACACGTGTCAACATTAATGGTCACTTAATATATCTTCTCATAACCCTTCATTTCTACAAATCTGATCTGGATCAGTGGCTGTGATATTCTCACATGCATTAGTGATTGATCATGTCAAGTCTCCCCTGTATGAAGGGGTTAGGGAAGGGGTGCAGTCACTCATTAATTTCATTGATTCCTTTTTCGATTATGCTTTAGATAAAGCAAGTTAAATAAAAGCCCCCCAATTTTATTTTGTTTTAAAATACATTTAAAACCAAACAGTTTATAGATGTATTATAGAGATCTGAGCTAGGAGAACCCAAAAGAATATGCGGCTATGATAGTGCAATTTTTCAAGATATATAAGAGCTGATGGAGCCAGGTAGATGCATTAAAAGAGCATCTTCATTGACAAACAAAATATAAATAAAAAAAAGAGAGAAATATATTATTTTAGTTATATGTCGGCATTTAGGTAATTCGTTTGGATGAACAAATTCGTTTTAATTAACTAAATATTAATTATCGCTAGAAAAGCTGTAAGTGCCGTTTTAATTAGGGATTTTTAGGAGAAGTGCCTAATACTTAAGTGCACCGTTTGTATGCAAATAAGTCATCACCAATTTAGACGCACATAATAGGGCTCTTAAGTTGACAGTAATAAACTTTGATATAGCTTTGGGTGGAGAGATATATTTGAGACTTTGATGGCTGAGGCATTTCCATGTTGGAGTCCACTACAAATTTTTATCCATCTTTGAATCGCAGGCACTGAAATTTCCCACGTGTGAAGGAGGCACTTCTTTCATCAGTAACAGTTCCATGTTTTCGTTTTCGTTTTCGTTTTGGCCTTGTGTGCGCGCCTGTGTGACAGTGCAATATGATGTGTGCCACTCCCAACTTGCGTATCTCCAACAATATTTGTTTCTTATTGCCGTTTATGAACCATAAATTAGTGTCTGTCTGCACAACCTAGTTAAGTTCCAGATGAAAACATTTGAAATCTAATGGTACTTACTGTGTGCGTGTGAGCAAATGTGTTCTACAAGTAAAGCTAAATTGCGCCAACATCGTTATTATCTAAATTGGTTTTTAGCGTTTTTAGTCAAATCCTTCTCAACAAGTAAAATGCAAATTATCACACGACAAAAAAAAAACCCAGGTCTAATCTTACCATAAACTGTTTTTCAATCAAAATTGTAGTTCATGTAATATGTATTCATCTTTTATTATGTATATTATTAAAGTAAAACTTTAATAAAAGAACAGCTTCAAATACCTACAATATTGAACCTAAATAAGTTTTATTAAAAAAAAGGTTCATACGAACAGGTTTTGTGAAATGGAATACAATTACATCTAGATATGTGTATGGTGAGCAATAGAATAGTTTTATGAATGAAGCATAGTCTTCGACGATTGAGGCAATCTTTCCTCGAACACGCTTTTCATCAATACTGATGGACTACAGTTTTCACGGCATAAACACTAGAACCAGAGGAACTTGTGTCACACATTAACTGATTTTTAATTTAAACTAGGGCGTTGGTGATTCTCCACTTTAGCTCCAAGATCAAGTGCAGATTAATAAAGTGGGAGTTAAATAGAGTTTGTTAAACACTTTATTGCTACCATTCTTTCTAAGAAAAAAAAAACCAATTATAATTTTTAAAACGTTGAAATAATAAATTTTTAAATTACTTTTTTGCCAACTCAATTACAAAATCCATATTAAAATATGAATTAAAAAAGACGTGATAAAAATAAATAAATCAAGGGATGGGCATAATTTGATATATTAAAACTGTCCAGTAAATTAAGCTTTGAACTATTTTTTTTTTAAATCGTAATAAGATACGTTGCAGTAAATTTATGCTTTTAGAAATATTAGTAGACGCTACGATTGTTACCACACCAGTAAAGGATAAGAGCCACAAAAGGGACATCATTCGGAAAGAAATAGCATAAAATTCAATCAAGGATGATAAGTAAAAACATTTGGCTACATTCTTTAACCCAAGAAAATTTAAAAATGGGAACAAACGTGAAGCTTTTTTTGTGTGTTAAATACATTGTAACCTGATTTATTCGGCGCATTTTGGGTATAATTGCACACCATTTTTTCGGTTACTAGTTAGTGGAACTCCATACAAATCGCATGAAGTTAGATAGATGAAGGTTCAAGGATTAAAAATATGTGGCCATGAGATCTCCTTACATCAATTATAGATCCATATGGTAATATCCAGGCAACACCTTAACAGTGATACGTCATCACAGGTTGGATACTATAGAGCATAGAACTCAATTTTGGGATCCCATTTCGTGATTTGTCATCACACGTGTGAATGATGCGTGGGAGTCAAAATGGGCATCCCACTAGTGAAAATTCATTAGTTTAGAAAGGTGGAAGGTTTTCCACCAAGTGCAGTGCCACCAAAGGGTTAAATAAGGAGGTTGATAGGAGGATGACATTTTGTGGGTCTTGGGTGCAATTTTATCCAATGATGGCTCTTGAGACTGACAAAGACAAAAAGTGTAAAAGACCCACAAGGGCATGCTATGCGTGCATATTTTTTACGGCTACACTTGGAGGCAGAGGCTTTTTTGGAACAATTCTAGGTCCTAAAACACCATTATTACTTGACACTTTTCATTGCTTCTAACTTCTAAGCCCAATTCACGAAGGCACTTCTGCAACATTTCAAGGTTTAGTCCACCACGCGTTCCAAGGTTGATCTGCTCTGTATCTTTCTCAAGTGCATGGTTAATGCACTGGTCAAACCATACACGCGTCATTCAAGCAAATTTCCTTCTCCTTTCTAGTTCTTAAAACTTAAAAAGCCTGTTATATGGAAGAATTGTATTAGGCGAATTGTAACTAAAAATTACACAAAATCAAAATATTGCACCAGCCGGGAATCGAACCCGGGTCTGTACCGTGGCAGGGTACTATTCTACGACTAGACCACTGGTGCCAATTTAAAAAAATTTAAATTATTGAAAATTAAATATAAGAGAAACTATAAATATAAATATATAAACCTAATAAAAAAATTTAAATTTATTTTGCATAATAAAATTTAAATTGTAACTAATAATTACACAATCAACCAATCATGATTAATATATTATAGTTAAATTTATTAAATTAAATTATATATTTAGTGTCTATAATTAACATTTATCTACAAATTAATCTTTATATTTAAAAATTTATGTTTCAATTCATATATGAGTACTTTGTTACATTTTAATATCTACTATTAACAATGTTATAATAGTTATAATGGAAAAGACTAAAACATAATAAAATATTTGTATTATGTAGTCTTATTAAGTTTATATTACTTATTATTTATTAGTATTATTTAGTTTGCATAAATATCACATTATTTATTAGTGACATATGTCTTATAGTTACTATACAAGTAATATCTTGTAATATTTTTATATATAAAATAAAAGGTATTTTCTTTATGTAATTGCATATGTTAATACATATAATGTATACTGAATCACATTAAATTCTTGTATTATTTTCTTTTCCTTTTTTTCTTCCTTTTATTTGCTCCTAACAAATAGTATGATAATTTATCTTAGTATCTTTACAGAAATAGTTTTGTTTGATCTTTTACATAAAAAAATATTTAGTTTTTCACAGGACCTCGGTTTAAAAGAAGTAATAAGAGTTGTCTTTAGAGGAAACAGTAGAAGCAATGACATCAAAGAGAGAAAAGTGAGGAGTGAAAATTTTGATGACAGATACTTCAGATTCTAAAAGAATATCTAGATCAAAATTTGTATCAATTTTTGACATGGAAGAAGTCAAACAACATAGAATAGACATATTGAGATTTGTTTGATCAACAAACATTTGTTGTGGTTAAATTGACAGGAAGCAATAATGTTGTGTTATACTTTGTGAACAATAAGACTACAACAAATTTGATGAAGATATTATTAAATATGTATAAGAAGCCATCTATTATCTATAGCCAATAAAATATATTTAATGTGTCAGTTAATCAACATCAAGATAGGAGAAGGTAATTTTGTAAATGATCATATTAATAAATTTAACTAAGTTTGTGTCAATGTAGATCATATTTGATGATGAGGTGAAGGAATTAATTCTACTATCATCTCTCTTGGATAGTTGGGTTGCAACTATTATTGCGCTAGTAGTCATGCAAGGAATAAAAAGTCATGCAAGATCATATTTGATAACATTAGTGACTCGATCTTAAGTAAAGACATCTGCAGGAGAGATTTATGAGTCTTTCAATCCTACTTCTAATTCAGCATTCAATTCTGAAAGCAAAGCAAGAAATAATCAAAAAGATAAAAATCAAAGTTGAAATAAATCAACGCAATCTTAATTCTCAATACATTAATGACATAGATTCACTTAATTGAATCAAAATTAGATTGTCATTTTCATCCTAAAAAAGATATTTTGAATTCAATTTTTTTTACCTCAACATCATTTCTTTTCAAATATTGGTATCTAATTAGATGTTTCTCCAATGTTCTTTAGCTTAAAAATATGAAGCTTTGTCTTAAATAAAATACATATGATATTGACTATTCATATCAAATGTAGACATTACACTTTTTTTAGATTAGTTTATTTCATTTATATGGGAAACAAAAACTATAATAAATCTTACCAACTTTACTTATCTTGTTTTGTACATTTCCTTCAATCATATTTTAAATTTTACACTAAGTGTGGATGGTAGAGTAAAGCAATGTTTTAGATTAACTAGCAGTTATAACCACAAAGGAGTGGTGGAGATAGAGAGGGAGATGAGGTGAGGTTTGGCATTGATGAAAAAGTTGATAACCACTCTTTTATTTTATTTGAAAATAGAAAAAAAAATGTTTCCTTCAAATTGTATTTATAACTATATTCCTTGACTTCATCTCTTGTAATTAATCACCACCACATTATAAGGTCATGAAATTTTGATTCATTTATCTCTTATTTTATATATAATGGATTTGTCTACATGAATCTCTTTGTCTTTTTAAGATTGAGTCTTATATTAAGAAGTCTAAGAGTAATATTTTTTACCAACCCAATTTTTTATGCTTTTTCATTGGGATAGATTATTGTTTTTATATCTTTAATCTTTATTTTATCAAACTCTCATTTTATAGCTGCATTGTAACTACTTATTTACGTGGATGCTATAAATATTTTAATCATATTTGCTATAATATTTATAAATAAATTAGTATACCGTTAGTGATAAAAATTATTTTGATAGTTTATAAACGTATTTTTGTTTCACGAATAACTACTATTCGAGATACATCATATTACAACATTATTTGCACAATAAAACCAAATCAAATTATAAAACAAGGTTTTATAAGTACTGGTCAATAAATTGAAATTCATTTATCAATAGTTTTTTTTTTCATTTCAGTTTATTAAGTTTTTTTTTTATTTGAGCTTATTTCCATAATTTTTTTACTTTCTTTGATAGGTACAATTGTTATGCTTTGAAGTATAAACTTTGTATGTGAGTCATTAAATAAATTATTAAAATAATATAACATTTGATGCTTCAATTACGAATCTCAATAGATCTATTTGATGACCGGAAACAGGGCTGCTAGTGCTTGTCTAATTTATTGAGAGACGGAGATGCTGGAAAAATGAAAGGTGGATATTATCTCACTCTTCATTGACGGAGGTACTTTGCCATGGACAAAGAAATAACTATATTACCCAAAGCTTATACCTTAAATCCTAAAGGTAAACATAGGTGTTTTGTTTATGATAACTATATTCCTACATCATTTTTATACAATATTCTTTTATACAATGGAATGTATTGTAAAATTGATGAGGTTATAAAAATAATTAAAGAGAAAAAATTAGTGAAGAGTGGAAGAAACTTCGTCAAAGATTGCTCCTAAAATAATTTTTTTTTTATTTCGGTTCATGTCACTAAACAAGGTGTTTTAGATTATAATTTTAATATTTATAAAATTAAAAGTTTAAAATTGTGAAACTGATATTACTTAAATAATCTTAGAAAATAAATTTTAAATTCAACTACTTTTATACATTAAGAGATAAAAATTACTTAATTAGATTAAGAAACATTAAATTTTTTACAAAAGTAAAATTGATCTCATGTTAATTTGTTTTGATTTATTACAAATTAATTTTTTTTATTTTTAATGTAACTATATTTAATATTATTCAATATAATAAAATTTTATTATTGTATATTTTTTAAGATTTTGTTTACTCAGCAAAATTTTATTTAAAAAAAATATTTATTGTATTTTTATAATTTTAATATTAATAATTATATATTTTTTTTATAATTTTTTTTTATTTATAGATACTTAAACTTAATTGAAGTTAATGAAATTTTATTTTTTATAATTAAATTATAATTTTATATTTTAAAATAAAATAAAATAATTTAATAAAAAATATAAACAAACCGGTTCTTACTCGTTTATATATAAACTTATAGATTTGGTATGGTGATGTCTTATACAGTAAAATTTGTTAAAATAGTGATTTTATTGTGACGACAAAATAATCAATGATGAATAAGTAGAAGAATGAAAGTAGCAAAATAATAATAATAATAATAATAATAATAATAAGTAGAAGAAGGAACGAACTACCGCGAAACAGAAGGGCTCGGGAGATATCTTAGAGTAATTTTCCATAGTCTTTTGGGGTGCTTTTTCAGATCTCTCCATGGCCTCCTCACATGTCTACCATCCCAGAATTGCACGACCTTTCCTTCTCGTTGTTTCTTCATCTTCTTTCCTTTAAACTCTCGAGCAAATAGTATCAATCCAGTTTCAGTGTTGCCTCCCTCAAAGAAACCCTAATTTCCCTGAAACACCTGCGCCATTCGACGTTCATGTCGAGCGCTTCTCCGTGTAGCAACTGCGGCAAAACCTCCTTCATCCGCGACGATGTCTCCGGAGATTTGGTGTGTTCATCATGCGGCGTCGTTCAACAATTCGATCAATTCGACGCCCAAATCGGCGGCATTGATGGTCCTCGAGGAACCTTCATCAACGTTGGAACGGCCGGTTCAGGTAGCCTTTACTCCTACAGAGATAGGAAACTGTTTACTGCACAAAACTCCATTGACGAATTAACGTTTAGGTTAGGGTTAACTTCGAAAAGCGTCGATATCAGAAACATGATATCTACTATCACGGAGGGTGAGTTCGGGCAAGGCAATTGGTTTCAGGTGTTGATTGGCGCGTGTGCCTACGTCGTTATGCGAAGGGATGATCTACCTTTGCCCATGGCTGAAATTGCTTCCGCTGTTGAGTGTGATGTGTACGAGCTTGGTAAAATGATCATGCGAGTTGTTGATTTTTTGGACTTGAAGAGTGATTTTCCTGAGTTCGACTTAGTGCATTCGTTGCAACGGACTCTTAATAACTCTCCTAGTTTTGCCTCTGTTGAGAGGAGTATAATGGAGAGAATGCGGATGCAGGGGATATTTTTGATGCAGTGTGCGGTGAAGTGGTTTTTGAGCACTGGTCGCAGGCCGATTCCGTTGGTGGTTGCGGTTTTGGTTTTTGTGGCTGAATTGAATGATGTTGAAGTGAGGATGGATGATTTAGCCAAGGAGGTTCATGCCATGGTTTCCACTTGTAGAGCTAGGTACAAGGAGCTCCTTGAGGCACTTGTAAAAGTTGCACAAGTGTTGCCTTGGGGAAAGGATATCAATACTAAAAACATTGTTAAGAATGCACCCTTTGTGATTCAGTATATGGAGAGGAAGTCTATGTCAAAGCCTGTTGACAAAGGGAAGAATTTTGATCAGCCTGGGCTGGATTTGGCTGATGTTGTTGCTGAATGCTTGAGACATGATGATGAATTTGAATATGGGATTGATGGCATAACATCCCGAAAAGATTCTCGGTATTTTATGTTAGAACATAATGCTGATAAACAGGGGATCAGGGATGTTGACAAACTGCAGATTTCACCTGAATGCTTGTCCATGGTGTATGAGAACTTTTTGAATGAGAATCGTAAAGCTAAGTCTTCAGGAAGGAGTGACAATACTCCAAAAAGGAGAAGGTTATGGTTTGATCTTCAAGAGTGTAGGGAGTGGTGGGATGGGAAGTCAGAACTGAGCAAAAAGCTTGTACTTAAAAAATTACTAGAGAAGGATGTTGGAGTGGACACCATGCCGCCATCATTTCTCACTGGTCAATTGAAATGTAAAATGAGGCAAGAGAGGATCAATGCTGCTAAGGTGCGGATTAAAAGAATTATGCATCCGTTAGATGCTGATATGGGTGATACTGAGAATCCTGACCTTCTAGAAAGCCCATATCCTGAGAGAAGAAGGAAGAAGAGAAGAGGAATGGTAGTTGATGATATTGATTGGGAAGACTTAATCATTGAGACCCTTATTCTTCATCAAGTAAAAGAAGAGGAAATTGAAAAGGGGCATTACAATACCTTACTTGATCTACACGTGTTTAACACTGGAATTGTATGAGAAAGTAGAGAGGTTTCAAATATACAGGCATACAGTCATATCGGGAGACGTTACGAGGATCACAAGAAGTTTATATACCCATCATCAGTGCTATTGAGGTTAGTCAAAACTGTGTTTGTGAATTTTTTACGTATTATGTGCTGGTTTAGTGGTTTTACTACTATATGCCTGATTGGTTTACAAACAAAATCAATTTTACATACTGTGACACAATTTCCAATTTAGTTTGTTAAGATTAATTTCGGCATGCATTCTAATTATGTTCAGTGGTTCAAAATTAATTCTATCGAAAACAATTCTACCAAAGTCTAACGCAAGCAGACATTATTATGCTTTAGAAGACTATAAAGAATGGAATGTCTAACTGCCGTTTGTATCTTTATTCTTTTATTTATTTATTTTTGGGGAACAAATTGGCATACTTTGAGGGATGATTTCTGCATCTAAAGTCACTTAACAATTTAAAATTTTGTTCTTTTGCAGAGTAAATCCAAAGTGGGTTATTTAGAGCTCTCTTGTCTCAACTGATCGACTATACATGCGTAATGTCATAACCGTATACCCTTCATGGATATTGGAGGCTGCTCGTAACTTCTTCCCTGATTTGCCTTAGGCATTTAAACTGAGTCTGAGGCGAAGGAAAGAAATTGTTAATACTTCCTATATATCATTTCATCAAATCTTAGTTCAAATAGAGCAAGATTAACCCTTGATGTGAGTATAAATGATGTAAACTTCTTATTTCTCATGTAAAGTGGATACTTTCTCAAGGTTATTGGAAATTTTTTGTTCCATCATACCCCTCATGGCTGGCTAATCGCTAGATACAGGTCTCAATGTTTATAGCTGCTGTAATTCTTTGTTTAAGGATCAGGAACAAAAAGGTTTATTTTATTAAAATCGTTTAAACTCTACTGCTTTCTTGTTTGTACTCTTGGAAAGGCTTGAAAAATGAAATTCTTTCTTCTTTTTTAACCGGAAAAGAAAGTTGGGTTCTTGTTTATGGTTATGTTCCTGGTGCATCTAGAAAAGTTTGGTTCATCGGCGGACCATCAACTTCGTAATCCTTGATTTATCGATTTAAAGTATGGCGGTTGAGATGGAATGGTTGATGGGTTCGGGCTCATTGCTTTAAAATTGCTAATGCTATTGAAGTCCATAAACATTGTACGGCTGAAAACATCTAATCGGCATAGTTACCCCCTCCTTTTTTGTTACCCAGTGATCATCATGTAAAAATGTCTAAATGATACTTACAAATAGGATTTAAAATTGAACATAACAGCAGTATATAATATCAGACAAAAAAGTGTGCAGAGTGGATGAACAAAGAAAAGCAAGCATAAATGTTCAACTGAAAAGAGTTTAACATTATTAAAATTCCAAAACAAATACATGAAGACAAATTATAAAAATAATTTCAACTTTTCTTTACAAGAGAACATCTCTAGTACAGTAGAAAATGAATTTGACCGCTTTTTCTTTTTTTAAATTAGCATCTAGTCCAATAAAATGTTAAGAAAGGAGAATGGGGAGAGGATGTTAAAGAGTGGCAGGAGAAAAGAGGTGATTAAAGAAGGTAAGAGATGGGAGGATGGGGTGATTGCTAATTTTAGTTGAGAAAGAGAGAGGTACTTCTATCTTTTTTGGAACTGGATTCTCTATAATTTTAGTGAGAATTATAACTTATAGTCTATTTTTGCTTAACCAAATTTTGATTCATTTAAACGAAATACACAAAAAGTTATTTTTATTTAAATTAATAAAATTTGTTTAAGTAAAAGTAAAAAATTTTACTTAAGTAAGACAGTAGAAGAAGAGAGGAGTTAGGTGAGAGGAAAATGGGGGGGGGGGGGGGGGGTGGTTAAGTGGAGGGTTGGGTGGGAGGAGATGAAGTGGGGGACAGGGGAGGAGGAGGGAGTATGAAGACGGGTTGAGAGAGGGAAGAGGAATGGTGAATTTGTTTAAGCGAAACGAAACTGCAAGATGCAAAGTATCCTGTTTTCATCTTTCTTTAACCTTTGCTAATTGGAGTGATTGCTTATTTTCTCTCAACTTATCTAGCCTTAAAATCCTTAAATATTAAGTTTTTGTATTATCTATATCAATGCTCTTGTATTTGATTATCAAAATTTATTTATTTATTGTTCATAATTAATTGTATCAAATTATATATGGTTGAGTTAGCTTTGTATTCTAAGAATATTATTACGAACTTGAAATAAATCAGCCACGTTACGTATGCTTGCAATCTACCATGTAGACAAAATAAAGGCAAGGAAAAGGTTTGTCTGACACTCCAAGATACTTCTATTTTTGGCTTTTTTATTTAATTAATACATATTTAAAAATAAATTTCTAAAATAAGATTTATTCTAAACTATTTTCTTGTTTGGAGCTTTTTTTTGCCAAATCATCACCAATATCGGCTATGCACCGACGATAGCGTTTATTTTATTATATTTTATTAGTCTATCGGCCACTCACGTCCGATACTATATCAAAATATGACATGTGAAAATTTTAAAACGCTAGAAAAAATTGAAAAAAACAAAAAACTAATATCGGAAAAGAAAGGACGATAACAATTAATTTATTAATTTTTGCCCACAGTGTATGGCCAGATTTGGTCGATACTAGTTTACGATTCGCCACAAAAAGTACGAAATATGACTTTTTAGAGCGGTTATTTTAAAACTGCTCTCATAACTTTATTTTAGAGAGCGGTTTCATATGAACCGCTCTCTAACATTTAAAATAGACGGCTAGAAAGATTTTGATATACGTGGCAACATCTGAGATGATTCGCGCTGCTACTGACGAAAGTTTATTTCACCCTGCAGTTAGCGAAACCGTTCAGGCATTGTAATTATATAAAATTAAATATAGTTTACTTGAATTAAATAAAATTATATAAAACTAAAAATTGAGTTAAATAAAATAATTATATAAAACTAAATATAATAATTTATACTTAGTTTGATTATAATAAATAATTTTTACACCTATAATGAAGTAAAATTTTAAAATTTTAAAATTTTAAAATTTTAAATGCAGTAATCATAATTTATATGAAATGTGTGTATAAAATTTGTATGTAAATAATAAAATTTTTTACTTTTAAAAACGTAATATTATTTATATGATTATAAACTAAATGTAATATATGTAAATTTAAATTAGAAAAATGAGAAAATAAAAATATAATTAAATTTTATGCTAGTAATTAGAGTTTTGTATTTATATAAAATTTATGTAGATTTAAATTAGAAATATAAAAAAATAAAAATATAATTTAATTTTATGCAGTAAGTAGAGTTTTGTATTTAAATAAAATTTGTATGTAAAAAATAATATTTTTTTACTTTAAAAAACGTAATAGTATTTATATAATTATAAATTTAATGTAATTTATGTAGATTTAAATTGAAAATATGAAAAAATTAAAATGTAATTTAATTTTATGCTAGTAATTAGAGTTTTGTATTTATATAAAATTTGTATGTAAAATTTATGTAGATTTCTATTTAGAATAATTAAAAATTTATATATCTTTAGTTATAATATGTATAGAATATAGATTAGTATATTTAAAAAGAATTTATTTATTTAATTTTGTTTATATACCTGATTTTTGCATTTATAATATATTGTAATGAATATAATATGATGTCATTACAATGTGATAATGATTTGTTAGAAAATTTGTTTCACCTTTATAAAATATGTATTATTAATATGTTAGTAAAATATAAATTATTATTATTATTATTGAATGAAATTTTTTTACTAATCTTTTTTATTGTTGTATAAATGGCATCATCTTCACAACAAAGTAAGGTTATTAATCTTGGGCCAAAAAATCCAGCAAAACTAACATGACTTTTGAGAGCGGTTCAAATGGAACCGCTTTCTAAAATTACTACTGAGAGCGGTTCATAAGGAATTGCTCTCTAAAATAGAGTTATGAGAGCAGTTTTAAAGTAACCGCTCTAAGAAGTCATATTTTGTAATTTTTGTGGCGAATCGTAAACTAGTATCGACCAAATCTGGCTGATACACTGTGGGCAAAAATTAATAAATTAATTGCTATCGTCCCTTCTTTTCCGATATTAGTTTTTTGTTTTTTTTCAATTTTTTCTGGCGTTTTAAAATTTTCACATGTCATATTTTGGTATAATATCGGACGTGAGTGGCCGATAGACTAATAAAATATAATAAAATAAACGCTATCGTCGGTGCATGGCCGATATTGGTAATGATTTGGAAAAAAAAAATCAGACAAAGAAATAGTTTAAAATAAATCTTATTTTAAGAATTTGTTTTTAAATATGTATTAATTAAATAAAAAAGCCTCTATTTTTATCCACACGTATTCTTATAATTGATAAAAAGATATTCAAAATGACCTCAACAAAGCATTTTCACACCTTAAGGTTGTAATTGAAGAAGGAAGAATTTCAAAATTTTATGAAATATGAAGCCAATGAAGAATGGTTAAAGTGAAAGTTAAATATGATAAAAATTATGAACGATAAATAAAAAAGTTAAGTATAATAAAAAGATAGTTAAATTCTCTCAAAAAATAAATTATATTATAATATTTTAAAAATATTTTTCTTTATTATCCAAATATTTACAACGTAATAATTTTAAATTATTCGATGCAAACACAACTTGATAGTATTTGATGTGAAATACTAACGTGGAACCGTTCATTGTAATATACATGCAGTCCTTATATTAATATTTAGATGAAGTAGTACGGTGGTTGCAAAAGTTAGATTAGTAGTCTTGAAAAATCAAAGAAAGATCTCTTATTAGATCTTAATCCTAACATTATCTAAATTGTTTTTTTTTTTAGTTCCTGATATAGAGCCGGTAAAAAAAAAATAAAAATTGATTAATATAAAGCTAATATCAATTAGATAAATAGTAATTGTCCAATGATCAATTAATTTTAAAATAGGAAAACAAATGAACATAGCCAACGCTTTTGTAAATAATTGTGACCATATATTGTATTTTCTTTTCCTTTTGGTTATGTGTGTGTATGAAAATTTACTTTTATTGCACAATCAGCTAGCCATTGAAATTTATAATTGATTTAAAAAATCAACAATAAAATTTTCATACGTTAAGCTAAAAACTGAAAACTTTTTCAAATAAAAATTATAATGTTTTAAGCATGTTTGTTAAAATTTTAAAAGAATTTTTTTTACTAAAAAACATATTAGGATGCGTTAAAAATTATTAACAAAAATAAATAATATTTTATAACTATTTTTTTTATTCTTTAACCAGATTCTTAAAGGCATTAATTATTATTTGCCAAATTATAATTATACAAATTATTTGATAACATATAAATATATAATTGCATCATTTAAGATAATATTGTAGCTACACATGTATATGTTACTTTTTAAGTTAATATTAATATTGTATAAAAAAATTAAACTCTTGATATTCTTATAAATATTTGTTTTTATTAAGCAGCAGTTGGGCATTCTCAGCCACCGGTTTTATTGAAGGAATTAATGCATTAGTAAAGGAAAAGCTGATAAACCTTTCAGCGCAAGAGATCGTTGATTCTGACCCTTTAAGCCATGGTTGTGATGGAGGATGGGTGGATACAGCATTCCAATGGGTTATAGAAAACTGTGGCATTGCAAAGCATCTCAGGTCTCGTTTCTATTAGTTACTCCCATCACTTTTTAAAATAAATATAATGATCCTACTCTTGTTCATTCCAATTTTGAATTTTTTGACCTTTTCTCTCTCTCTCTCTCTTCTGAAGTAGATTCCAAACAGGGCAAGCATTGATAGCTATTCTCATGTACTACAGTCAGACAATGGACTGCTTTGTGCAACTGTTCAGCAGCCTATTGTGTGTGTTTGTATGCAACCCTTGATTTTTTCCAATATCAATATGTAAGTATTTTCTATCATTAATATTAATTTATCTACTTAGTTTAAAGAATAATTTCAATTATTTTTTTTCTACCTTTTACATCTATAAATATTTCTAATTATTATTATTTTTTATATATTTTTTAAGATAATCAGCACACGAATATGTTTTATCTAATACTTAGTTTGGTAAAACCATCCGTTAGATGCTGATATGGGTGATACTGAGAATCCTGGCCTTTTCGAAAACCCTTATCCTGAGAGAAGAAGGAAGAAGAGAAGAGGAATGGTAGTTGATGATATTGATTGGGAAGATTTAATCATTGAGACCCTTATTCTTCATCAAGTAAAAGAAGAGGAAATTGAAAAGGGGCATTACAATACCTTACTAGATCAACGCGTTTAACTCTGGAATTGATTGCGAAAGTAGAGAGGTTTCAAATATACAGGCATTATAGAAGTTTTAGATACACTGCTATTTTAATGATCCATTATTTCTCACTGACAACCATCATCTGACAGAGCAGATATTATCTTGCGCAAAGTTTTGTAGTAGCATTTTTATATATCAATTTGTAGCAGCGGTTACATCCTTTTTTACTTTTTAAAACCTAGGCATCTTAATGTATAGTTGATATCAAGACATTATCATGATCTCTTGATTTTTTGTAATCATATATACTTATTTTTATATTCTACGACAATCTCCTTTTAAATTTCACTATGGTTTTATCCATGGTAGAAATTATAATTTCTTTCATGTCTGATTGTAAGCGTGCCCGTGCCCAATTGTTTTACTATGATGTTTTGAATATTAAGTGCTTGGCATGTCCCATTACCCGGTTTTTTCAAAGTACTGTATTCATATTTCTGCATTGGTTAGTACATGGTAGCACATAATGAGCAGTTTGCTTTTGCTGTATTGGTTAATTTGGACGTTACTGCAATGTTTCATTGTTCCTGCTGAGACTTCTCTTCTATGATTATTGCCAGGAACCATGGTTTTGTTTTCTCACATTTACCTGCTGTAAGACTCAGATTTTTTATCTTATTAATATCATCTTTTGCATGGCTTCATAATCTCAATCAAGTTATTTGATTCAATATAGTGACATTTACTGTGTCTTCAAGTTCAAGGTGTAAACTTAATCTCATTTTTCTTCCTAATGACATGACATCCCTTTCAGTTCTTGAATTGTTGTTGTAAAGTCCACCACAGGATGATGTTTCTTTTTCATAATCGCATTTGTGTTACTGTTTATAAAATAAGGAGGTGAAGAGGGTGAGATGAGAAAGGGAAGAAATTTAGATAATGTGGAGAGAGAACGTATCATATAATTGTTAAATGTTTTAAAGAGAACAAAAATGGAAAAATGTCTCCTCTTTCTCCTTATTAATAGACGAATATATGTCCTCCTGGACTTGCATTCTCCATTCTCTGACTTTATCATTCCTTTTTTATGTATATGTTTCCAATATGTTTAGTAAAATACCATATTTATCATAATGTAAAATTTTACTGTCAACATTTTTCTTTGAATTTTCAGTAATGCTGGTAGATTAATTCATGCAGGTGCTAACTGAGGACAAAAAGATCACACCCCTTAGAGATCAAGCTATGATTACTGCCACTCAAGGAAAATCTCTTGTTGGAAGTACCAGAAATCTGAAGAATGATCCGGATCATCTCCTTATTCTTGTCCATGGTATCTGGTCTAGGTATAATTGTTTGAATTATTATATTTGTATGTTCATATTTGAGTGAAAAGTTAGTAATATATGAGCTAAAGATGGGTAGAAAATTAAACATGCTTAGTGTTTTTATGCTTATATACTGCATTAAAAATATATAATAAAAATTGAAAAAAATTATGGCTTTCATTTTCCAATATCTCTTATCTTTGTCTTGTTTTATATTATAAATCTTACTATAAAATGTTGTTGGTTAGGGCTCTCTTAAAATTCTTTTGTCTTTTCCCTAACTACATAGCATTTGTTTAATTATCTAGAAAAATGAGTTCTGTGATTCTCCAGTATGGACTGAGGTTAGGGTTTGAAGGGAGAATGTAGATTTTCCTTGAGTAGTATTTGGTATGAATGGGAGGATATGGCCACAGAAAGAAGTCTCATCACGGTAAAGAAAAAAGTTTTCTACAGTAAAGCAATACTGTAACATGCAATTATTTTTGGCTCAATACTTTGCCATAAAAGTTTCTCTTTCATTTTGTTAACAATTACATGTTTTTTAAGTTATTGTAAAGATTCATGATGGATAACTTGGTGGAATTTCTTTCCTCTTTGGAAGTATGTAAAAACACAGGTAGATATAATCAGTCAAGGGTTCATATGTCTAAATTCTGGAAGAAAACCCTCTGTCAGAACTAGAAGCAATGCATAATCTCTCTAGCAAATGCATGTTGGAAAATTTCTTTAGTTATTCGTACACCCTTTTTTATTTTGATTTTACTACAATTTATAGATGAAAGGATGTCCAGCATTTGTTCACTTATTTCTGCTGGTTTTTGCTGTCTAGTTTAGCCTCATACAAAGTTGACTGATGTTTCTTTTAACTGACACAGCCCAAGTGACTGGACTTATGCAGAGGCCGAGCTAAAAGAGCACCTTGGAAAAGACTTTTTAATTTATGGTAACCATGTCATTTTACTGTTGTTTTCATACCCTTTTTTTTTTCATTTCTATAGTTGGAATTGTTATTGTAGCTGTGCTTGATTGGGAAAAAGTCTTGTTGTATTACACCAATGTACTTATAGTTGAAGGTGATAAACAATGTTCATGTGTGCGTCTTTTGCAGAAAAAAAAAATTCAAGCAATACCAAGTTAACATTTTAGAAAATCTTTTAATGATTGCTTTTATTGGGGATAACTGACTGAGATACGTTAGCCTACTCAAAGTTGATCAATTTTGATGTATCTGGACACTGCTAGGTTTATGTAGTTGATAAGGATGTGTACACAGACTACTGAAAAATATAATTCTTTATTGATAAATCCTAAGATTTCAACCCAGTTCCAATAAGAAACTGAAATTGAGACTTAGGAAGTTACAATGTGGTTTCCCTATGCTGGGTTTTGTCTTTTAGAGAGACCCAGTACACTCCAATTTCAGACTTCTTCTTGAACTTTTCCCTTCCTTATTCTCCCTTGTTACATTTTATTTATAGACTTAACTGTCCCACCTAACTAACTGCCCATCTGTTACTAACTTCTTAAATTATCCCGTTAGAGCTATTATTTCTCCTAATGTAAACATGTCTTAGTGGGGGTTATCAGTAGGCTTGCAAAATCAAGTTATACTAAACCATGGTTTTTTTGGGGTAATGCTGGAAAAGTCTATTTGCTTTCAGTTGCACACTAGTTAGCCTAAGCTGTATATGATGACAATTGTCTTGAATAGAGTGAGTGTGACAGTTATTTTGAATTTCTTGTGTACCATAATGTAAAAGTAATGCTTAAGCAGAAGTTCTTAAAATTTAATTTGATGTATGCAGCAAGTTCATCGAATGCTTATAATAAGACACTTACTGGGATTGATGAAGCAGGAAAGCGATTGGCAGATGAAGTGAGTCTTGAATTATATACAAATTTATGTGTCTAAAGTTTGGACCTCCAAAGTCAATTCTGATAGCTTGGAGCCTGTCTTGAATTGTTTCATGTTGTAAACTATTTCTTTTTATCACAACAGGTCATGCAACTTGTAAAAAAGACCAAGAGCCTGAAAAAAATATCCTTTCTGGCCCATTCTCTGGGAGGCCTTTTTGCTAGATACGCAATTGATGTCCTTTATTCAACTGATACCTATAGTAGTGGCCAAACTGGTGATCCAGCAAACTGCATGATGGAAAATTTACAGAGAACAGACTTTTCAAGAGGGATGATTGCTGGGTTGGAGCCAGTGAATTTTATTACTTTAGCAACTCCACATCTTGGTGTAAGGGGAAAAAAACAGGTCTGTTCAAGACTATCAAAATTATGGAGCTATTGTTTATTATGCATGTGGTGGACTTGTATCTGAAAATCTAAAGCACTGTTGTTTTTTTCCTTAATATTTATTTAAAGCTTTACGCTGATGATTCACAGCTTACATATTAATGTTGTCATAATGGTTATAACTTCATTAAAATATTCAATAATTATAACTATGATTTTGTGCTATCTGTGATAAAAACCCTAAGATTTTTATTAGGGAGAATGAATCTAATATTTGTTTAACCTACGTGCTTCCTTCTCTTAGGCTCTTAGTATGTTCATATTTATTCGTTTCCCATCTTTTATTCGTTACTTTAGTTTCTCTGTCAAACTCAATTATTGGTTTCCGTGAGTGCGACCAGAAGTTTAAACAAAGTGATTCACAATGAATCAAACAAAATCATGAATGAATTGGATGCATCGTTACTCTAATTCCTCATTTAGATGTCTCATCTATACTGGAATCCCACCATCGTTTTCTCATGTTTACTGTATCTATTTCAAGAGATGAACAGAGTTTTTGAATTTTTTTTTTTCTGGCAATATTTTTTTACTTTTTAATACACTTTTTTCAGCTTCCATTTCTGTTTGGTATCTCAATCCTAGAAAAGCTTGCTGCTCCTATAGCTCCATTTTTTGTTGGTCAAACTGGTCGTCAGCTATTCCTTACTGATGGTAAACCCGAAAAACCACCTCTTCTTTTGAAAATGGCTTCTGATTGTGAGGATGGAAAATTCATGTAAGTGAAAGAAACTTTCTGTGATGACAATAGATTCCTCTGTTTCAATAAAGTAATCATTTGCTTATTGAATTTTCTGTTTTGTAGATCTGCACTTGGAGCTTTTAGATGTCGTGTGGTTTATGCTAATGTATCATATGATCGTATCCATTCAGCAATGAACATATATTCATTCAGTACAATACAGCCTACTTGGTATATCAGCGACAAACTTCTTGGCTCGCCCTTCCTTAATTTGTGTTATTTCTTTAACTCTATATAGATATGGTTGGGTGGCGTACATCCTCTATAAGAAGGGAAATCGAACTTGGTAAGGTGAATATGATAATTTCTCTTCATGGATTATCTCTTCTTTTCTTTTGGTTCATGATCTCCAGCATTCAAATAATTGTATCTAGGATTAATATCAAATATAAATTCAAAACTTCTCTAGAGGATCTTAACAATCTAGAATCAAACTATAACAAATGAGACAAATTATGAAACTAGCACAATAAAGTTGTAGTGATACATTGTCCAAGAATCTAACATTTAACAAAAACAAGAGAATTAAGAACACCAGCAACGCCTGGCTATAATGCATTATTTTTCACTTCGTTCAGAAAGCACTACTGTACTTTCTCTTGAACCTTGCCAGTTTTACAGTTACCTGGCCCTCATGTTTTAATATGCTTCTTACCGCTAATTCAATTCATTCGTAGCCATACGTTGTCTCAAATGTCCTGCCATAATTGTAAATACAAAGTAGAAATGTCATCCACTGAGAGCCACAACACGTTGGCTTAAAATGAGGGCCTGTGTTAAAAAATGCATAAGGTAGTGGTTGTAAGTTGTATATGCATCATGCATCCATGGATTACTGGTTTACTTTAACATTAACGGTTGTCCTTCTGAAATAATTACTAAACAACGGATCAGAGCAATTGACACTGCAAATTAGATGTTGGGTATGGTGTTGATGCCAGCATCCCTTGAGTGTAAAAATACGCTTGATTTGTCAAACTTGAGATTGTGAATATTTTATTTTTTATAGAGTAATAACATTTTCTAATTGTATTGACAGTCTCCACGCAAATCTTTGGATGGATACAAGCATGTTGTTGATATGAAATACTGCCCCCCAGTTCCTCATGATGGGCCTCAATTTCCTCAGGAGGCAGTGAAAGCGAAGGAGATTGCACAAAATACCCAGAATACTGTGGAATATCATGAAATTATAGAAGGTGGTTGCTATACCCATAAGTAACTGAAGATACTCTATTTTACATTCTGAGTCATTGCTGCCATATCACTAAAACCACTTAACATCTTTTTTAATAGAGGAGATGATACGGGGATTGCAGCAATTGGGATGGACAAAAGTTGATGTCAGCTTTCACTCAGCAGTCTGGCCTTTCTTTGCTCATAATAATATTCATGTACTTTTTCCACTGAATCTTTTCAAGGATGATAATATCATTGATCTAGTATTTCACATGAGTACTCCTTGAATTTCAGGTGAAAAATGAAAGGCTTCACAATGCTGGTGTAGGAGTAATAGCTCATGTTGTTGACACCTTAAAACAGCAAGAAACATCATCAGTTTTGGCTTGTTAGCTTTTAGCAAGTAGTATGATTCACCCTGCCACCGCCTGAGACATAGCTGCACAATACAAAGACCCATATATGATTATTTTATTTTAATGGTCTTTGATAATTGATATCTTTACAACAATTGAATTCGAAATATATGTTCATGCAATTAAATTTGAAAATTTTCTCCAAATCGCCTTATGTATCTCCTAACTTTTAGTCACACAGAGGCAAGTTATGAAGTTATACACAATTGATTCGTTGTCGTTCGTGTCAAACACTAGAGCTCTTTTTTTTTTTTTTAATCATGCTATAAAAAATATTATAGATTGTAAATTAAAAAATGTTAAAGGATGACAATATAGAAAAAGGAGTCAAATTTATAAGAGAAATAAAAAGATAATAAAATAATATATTACATTTTTTAAAAGAAAATACAAACTTTTAAATTTGAATAAAAAATTTAAATGAATTTATGAAATAAAAAATGAACTAAATTGTATAAGATATTTTTATATCACAAAGGATATTATCTGATCATGATAAAATAATAAAGTTTAAAAATTAAGTTTTTATTTAGTTTTTGCAAACTCTACAAGTATTATTAAATTAAAATACATTTTAAATTAAGAATCCATACTCAATATATATATATATATATATATATATATATATATATATATTGAGTATAAATTCTTAAATGAGAATATTTTTTAGGAAGTTTCTTAAATAAAAACATTTTTTTAGAGTTAATTTTTTATTATTATTACATTGAGTAATATTTTTAATGTTAAATATTTATTTTTGTAATTTAATATTTATTTAAAATTTGAATTTGTTATAATTTTTTAATTATTTATTTTTAATATATATTTTAATTTAATAATACTTATAGAAATTATGAAAAATTATTGGTTTACACAATTTATATTTAATGTATGCAATTAAAGTAAAAATGTAAGTATTAATACAAAAAATAGTCTTTAACGTTAATTAAAAATAATATTTAACATTGATTAAAGAATTTACGTAAATACAACCAATATAGAAAAGTTAAAACTTTTTACATAGATAGTACAACTGATGTAAAATATCTTAACTTTTTATGTTAATTATAAATAATCAACCTAAAAGTGTTGTATATCAATTACTATCAATGTAGAAAAATATTTTTATTTATCAATAACAAACAAATTTAATGGTCTCACCGTTTGTTGTTAATGTTTGTCAATATTTACTTAAAATTTAATCTTTATTTCTTCGTCAATAAAAATATGTAGTGTTTATTGTCAATTTTTGTTAAGTTTATAAATAAAAAAAATCTATAATATTCTTTAATGTTATATACCAATGAATTAATGAAAAAGAAAACATAAAATAAAATAAAACAAAAACATTGATATACCTTGTAAGAGTTTATGTTTGCCAGTGGTATAGCAAAAGACATTAAAGTTTGGGAATATGAGTAAAAATTCATGTTCATCATTTCTATTTTATATTAATTCACTAGCGCAAGCCTCTAAAATTTTGAATTTTGAAATAATTTTACATTAGCTGTTTTTTAATTACATCATTTCTAAAACAAATGATGTAAAATATACATATGTTATTTAACAATCGATATAAAAATTCTACAAATTTTTATCTTTGTTATAGTAAACTTTAAAGTTTTATAACTTTTAACAAAAAAATTTAATTTATACAAATTATATATATATATATATATAACTTTTTGAAATTTATTCAACTCATATACTTAAGGGAGTTTACACAATTTTTTAAAAAAATTTCAACATTTTTTCTATTTTTCTATTTTTCTTCACTTTCTATATCGGTTCAAAGAGCAACCAATTTAAAAAGTGTTTTCTATATGAGTTAGTTTGACAACCAATCATTTTATTTTTTAAAATGTCAACATGTATTTTATTGAATTAATTACTTATTAACTGATGTAAAAGTTTGTTATAAAAAACGTTTTTTTTACTGTGAAATATAATCTATACATATTATAGAAATTTTTTAAATTTAATTTAATACTAAATATTTTGTTTATGTAAGTTTAAAGATTGTGCAATAAACTTAAAATCATGTTGAATATATATTATATGCTTATTTTATTTTATTTTTAACTTATTTAATTTATAATTGTTATCATTTTAAAAATTATTCTTATAAAATTAATATTATAAAAATAAAGTGTTGGAAAAAATTTGCATGTTTCCTCACAAAGCTTCCTTGAAATTAAAAAAAAAAAAAAAACACACTTACCACACAATAATTAAAAGTGAAAACTTAAAAAATTAAAACATTTATCTAAGAATAACTCCAAAAATAACATTATATGAAATTTTTTATAATAGAATTTTCTTATAACTATCACGACCTATATCTCAAAACGTATTAAAAGAAAGTATAAAAAAAAAAAGTTATACATAACTTTAAAACATTGACTGATGTATCTTTTTACAAAAGAATTGATGTTAATATATAACTTTAACTTCCCTTTTCCTTTAACAATTTTAACAATGTGAAACTTATTTAAAAACATTTTATTTTAATTAACAATTTTTACTTAGATTAAAATAAGCACATCTTTTACTTTTATTGTTTATACTGACAATTATTGTTAAAAACTATTATACTCTATCTTAAAGAGTATATTACATACTTTGCATCAATGTTACTCAATAGTCAATATTTACATTCTATCACTACACACTTTACATTAATGTCAACCAATACTTATGTGTTATCACACATCTAGTATAAATATTAACTAATCTCAATATGCTATCATTATACATTTTACGTGAATTTCTCTTTATTAAACTTCATAATATAATATCTCACTAAGTTAGATCTCATCGAATCTTCAACTTTGATACCACATGTTATGATAAAAATAAAAAAAACAATATACATCAAGTTCTTTGTTGTACTAAGCACGAGATTTGTTTTAATATATTTTATTTTAACCAATCTTAATATATTATTATTACACATTTTACATGAATTTCTTTTTATTAAATTTCATAGTGTAACGTCCCACTAAGTTAGATCTCATTAAATCTTCAACTTTGGTACCACTTGTTATGATAAAAATAAAAAATAATAATAGACCTCAAATTCTTTGTTGTAAGGCATGATATTTATTTTAATATATTTTATTTTACTGCTGTAAAGTATTAAAAGAAAACTCATGGTTGATATATAAGTACTATCTACACATAATTTATATTTAAAATATGCAGTTTAAATAAAAGTGTAAATATAATCTACACATATTATAGAATTTTTTTAATTTAATTTAATTATTTAATTTAATACTAAATATTAGTTCATGTAACTTTGAAAGTCATGCCCTAAACTTAAAATTATGTTGACAATAGATTATAAGTTATTTTTGTCTTATTTCTTAATTTATAAAAATAAAGTATAAAAAAAAGCTCATGTGACCGGCATACAATTATACCCGCTAATCATAATTTAGAAATAATTATTTTAATGAAGAATTATATTTTCTCATAAGTATAATGTTACATTTAACATGAGTAACACTTGATAAAAAGATAAAATAAAATTTGCCACTAATATTCTTTATTAATAATACATTATTGGTGACATGCATATTTTTCTTTATACATAAAATTATTATAATAATTTAATGATTTTGTCACTGTTAAAAAAATTAGAGAAAAAATAAAAATTAGTTACAGATTATTTATATTTAATGATAAATTTTATACTCATCGCTAAATTTCAGTTACTAAAAATTATATTTCTTGCAGTAAAAGCAAAAATAAGTTATTTTGTAGACATTTTAAAAAAAAATAAAAAAAATGAAATTCTCAAGTCAAATACGTATTATTCTCAAACCGTGCCATTTTTTATTGTAAGTTATGAATGGAGGGAAGAAAACGATTTCTAATCTTAATATCTAAGCAACTATTTTGGGCCTATATGTATCGTGGAAATAGCATCAATAATTAGAAAATATGACTCATTCAATTCATAGGAAATGGTCAGTATTGTTCATTGAAATGATTTATGGTGTTCGTGTTCCTTCGTCCGTTTTAAGCTGGTCTTCATTGCTATTTTTATATCTAAATTCTCTGGTTAAGTGACTGAGAAAGGAGGAGAGCAAAAATCGGATCAAAACAACAATTTCAACCATCAACAAATAAAGGAAGGAATGACAACCTCACAAAATAAACACACAACACGAAATTATTTTGACCCATTTCAGGTATAAAAGCAACCCCCTCCTGAATGAAATAATCATCCAAACCAAAAAACACATCCTGCAAGCAGAATTCAGATATCAGAATGGCTAAGTCTTCAACCATCATCATCGCCTCTGCCCTTTGCTTCTTGTCCTTTCTAGGTTCGGCTTATGCCAGAGACCGCTTCCATGTTGAGGGCAATGTTTACTGTGACACATGTCGCGTCCAGTTCCTCACTAGGTTGTCTGAACCCCTAGAAGGTACCTACTTGGTTATAAATCATTTAAAGTACTTATAAATGACTCACATGTATATGACATAACATGATGTTTTTAAATTTCCATTGAATAATGTGGTATAATGTTTTTAAAATCGTGGTTGCATGCTATTGAAAAATTCATTGAATAAAATATTGTTAAAACGTAAAGCATATACATTCATGCAAAATGTTGTAATTATTAAGAATAGTTAATGTGGATGTCATGAAGGTGCAACCGTGCGGGTGGAGTGCAAACAAGTTGATAATGTGAGGAATGTGACATTCAGCAAAGATGTAGAGACAAATGCTTTCGGGATATACCACGTGGAGGTAGATGGAGACCATGAGGAAGACACGTGTGAGGTTACATTGGTGAAGAGTCCAAGGCCTGATTGTTCTGAGGTTGACCGTGAGTCTCATTTGCAGCAAGCTGCTAGGGTTAGCATCACCAAAAACAGTGGAATTGTATCCAATGTTCGCCAAGCCAACCCTCTTGGTTTCCTTAAGAAGGAACGTCTCCCTAGCTGCATTGAGTTGTTCAAGGAGCTTGAAATCAACGAAGATGGCTCCCTCATATGAAGAAAGAAACAAAATCGTTCAAGGGATATATATTAGAATCACAATATGTGATAATTAATAATTTAAACTTGTTCTTTATAGGGAGTTTTCTAGCAAGGCTTTAAGCATCTGAAACAATCCTTGAGCTACTATAACTCTCCCTTTTTTTTTCTTTTCTTTTAAGCTGGTGAAGTTTATGTGACTTTTCTTTGGCTGTTTTCGTCTCTTTTGCATCATGTAATAAACTTCTTGAAAAAGAAGAAGAATAATAATAAGGGATTCTAATATTCCATTTAATATGCTTACTGTTTGCAATGTTTATTTGGTTTTTTTTTCTATAAATTTTTGTTGAAAATAATTATTTGAACCGGTTGTATATCGGATAAAAAATAGTTTATCCGGGTTTAATTTGTATAAAACTAAAGTCGTAAGAAGTATGCATGATTTTAAGAAAAGGGGAGAATATATCTCTACACACATATACTTCAAATATTATTTCATAATAGCTATAGTTTTTATCATTTAACTGTTTTTTTTTTTTTTTTGCTAACTTTTTATCATTTAACTCACTAGTATGGAAATTCAAAAGTGCCATTTTGTGTGCACAACATCTTTAATCATGTTATCTTGATTTCCTTCTTTCTTTCTTTCTTTCTTTCTTTCTTTTTGTGAACAAATTTATTAATTGATTTCTTAACTACAAAAGTTGTTGCATATTTGGGCTTTCCCGATACACGACATGGGCCTCAATGATTCAATGGTCATGAGTTTTGTGTCTTACGGTGAAAAAGTCTATATAATAACGTTAAGGTTCAAATTTCACCTTCTTAATCTTACATTCTCCTTATCAACCAAAAAAAAGAAACGCTACACTCTCCATTCCTTAGACTAAAATAATGTTTTGAATATATATTTAGTCTTTAAAAAATTATAATATTTTATTTTAACCTCCATAAAAAACTATTAATTTTAATTTAATAAAAAGTATATAATTTAAAGAGGAAAAATAGATAATTTTTATAGGAACTAAAATTAAAAAATATCATCTTTTAGGAATTAAGAGATGGTGTTAGAAAAATAGTTTTGAGCATCAAAATTATAACTTTGCAACTTTAATGCTTAATTAAAAGGTTATTTAAATCATAGGAATTAATATGTAATATATTTTTTTATTTATGGATAATTTTGTGAGAAAAGAAAATTGTCTTCGTCGTCCCAAATTAGAGCATTAGAGAATGCAAACCAAAGTTAGCGGAATAAATGACCTACTAATAAAATGGCAAAAACAAAATCAAATTTAAATATTTTCAACGGACATTTATTATTTTATTTACCAACCTTTATTCATCGCAACAATTTGAAGCATAGTTAGTATATGCCCTATGACTCAAAGCACAAATATGATACGACAAAAGAAATAAAAAGATAACTTTTTATAATAATATGCCTAGGGAACATGTAAACAACATCATATTCCATTTCAAACAGTGTATCGTACATCAATAATGTTGTCCTCATTTTATTAAAGAATGTGATTCCAGAAAAATATTTGATTAAAAAAATTTCAAAATGATGGCACTAATTTGATCAATCCTTTCCGAGGTCTAATTTATTTTGTTTAAGTCCATCCAATGTCTGATCACATAAACTTAATGAAAGTATCCTATCCGATAACTAAATCATTCGGTAGAATTATACTCTTTTATAATTTTTATATATTTTTTAATATTAAAATATCTTAAAATAATGTGTAAATTACCTTTTTAATTGTTGTAATAGCTTTATTTTTGTCTATTTTTGCCTATTTTTTTATAAACATTTACATTTATAATTTTTTTATTTTATATAAACTTTTAAAATTTTTACGAATACATTTGTTTATATATAAAATTTATAATACTTAGAACATTAAATCTATTATTTTAAAATTATTATAATTTTATAGAATCTTTATTATTTTGATACATACTACTTTTAATTATAAATTAAGTTTAAGTAAAGTTTTAAAAATTAATATTTCAAATAGTTATATATATAATTATTTAAAAATATATTTTTTATATTTATTAAATATTATATTTATATATATACATTAAAATAAAATATTCATATGTGGATTAATAACCAGTTAACATGTAAAGTAAGTATATTTTTTTTATAAGAATTTAGGAGCAAATCGAAAGTCCTATCTAAATGCAACCTAATTTAATTAATCACTAAGATGTTGATGGTTAAGCATATAGCTTACAAATGTACTTCAATGCTTGTTGATATGTTTTTTAAAAGAAAAAACAAATTCAACCGCAACTAGATTATTATATCATCTTTTTATTATATACTCAAGTATATCAAAATACTAAACTATTTTATATTTTTAATTAAATTTTTATATGCCCATTGTACATGTTTAAAAATATCTTATGTATATTTAGTTCTTAAAACAAACACTTATTTATAAATTAATTTTTATAATAAAAGTTTTAAAGTTTAATTGTTATACACGTGTTTTTTTTATTATTAATAGTAAAATTTGGTATTAGGTGAGTTGTAAGTTTTTAAAAATGTTATAACAATAAATTTTTAAATATAAGAATCAATTTATAAATGAGTAGTATTATAAAAAAAATGTTTAAAACCTTTGTATATAAAACATAAAATTGGAATCTCTGTTCCGCCGAATTTGAAATTCTTACTTTAAAATTGATTTGGTAGGCCGGCCTCTAGAACCACGCTGTGTTCAGGTGAAGACTGGGGTCGTCGAGCACTTAATTATTAAATTAGAGAGAAGAGTGGAATAAATTAAAGGCTTAAACTGCAATTTGCACTAAAATCTTATTGTTTTAAGTGTTTACTTTTCCAATCTTATCTCTCTTTCTTCATTGACCATTTAATCAACATCTGTACATATCAATTTCGTGCATCTCAATCTGTCACACCCAAATGTGCCTGTGTATGGACAAAGGACTTGAGCATCATTGCAAGAACTAATCTGAACCGTTCACGTCTCCTCATTGTTGAACATCGTCCATTCATTTGCTGCGCCATTTCTTTCGGTGTTCAATCTCATTCCATCATACGTTTCGGTCCCTTGTTCTTGTTCTTAAGTTATGAGCTTCGGTAGATGATTTTATTGATCTTCATGCTTAGCTGCAGAAACACACAATTCTTCTAAGATCGATATTTTGGACCATTAATAATTCCAATAATTGGTGGTTGAGCCTGCAAAGTGCAACAGTGACGTAGTTCTATTTTTACAAAATTTAACTGCAATATTAAATTTTTATTTTGATAATGAAGGTTATATATATATATATATATATATATATATATATATATATATATATATATATATATATATATATGTTTTTGAAGTAAAACTTTCTATGTATTAACAAGGATTGAAATGAGACTCTCAATTACTCCTTTATGATAAAAAGTAAAGGAAACAAACGGAACCGATCAACCCATTTGAGCTTTATTGAACTGTATAAAGAAAAGTAATTTTTTATTATAAAATAGAAATTGAAGTCTAATCCAACAAGTTAAATCAAGTTGAACTTGAACTCCGATAGGAGAAAAGTCAAACAAGTTGGACAAAAAAATCTCCTAATTAATTTGGATTCTAAATATTTGTATTCAAATCCTATATATTTTAGGAAATTTCATACCCTTTTTCGATGTGTCAAATAAATAGAGAAACGCGAGAAATAAAAAAAAAAAAGTGATAAAAATTTGAAAAAATAATTAAAAATAATATTTATACTTTTTAAGCCAACTTATTTTTTCCTCTTTATTTGAAAAAATAAACTACATTAATTAAGATTTAAGAAAATTTAATTTAATATATTTTTTAATCTTATATAAATATTTCTTAATTTATGCAATAATATGACATGACATAATTTTCTTGATTGCATTAATTATTCATAATATTTATATAATTACTTAATAAAATAAAAAATGAGATAAAATTTGATTAAACTTGAAGACTATATATATAAACGTAATTTACGCTAAAAGGAAAGGAAGAGAGAGAGAGAGCATGCGTAGGGTAACCTCCTGAGGTCGTTCTGGGCTTCTTGGGCGGAAAAATGTGGCGGAAATCAGCCGTAACGTGCCATTCATCCAAAAGCAATCCCTCTTCCATCCCTAACTTGTTCTCTTCACCGGTTTCATGGGTCGGCGACTTGGCCTTGCGGCGGCCGGCTCCGATTGGGACGTTACGGAGGGCCCCACCGGCGGTCCAGTACCTCTGGCAGGTCTTGCAGAAATGCCTTGGCTGATTGACGTTGTAGTTATTGAAATAGCAGAATTTAGTTTCCATGCTCTTGCATCTTGGGCACGCTATTCTCTTCTCCTTCTCCACCCTCTCTTCTTCACTCCCCTTTTTCACTTCCTTACCCTCCAATCTTATCGTTGCCCCAAATAGCTTTATCCCTTCACCGTCTTGCAATTCCGCCATTTCACACAAATACGAGAGAGAGAGAGAGAAATATATTCTTAATGAAGAAGGTTTTGGTTGGCGTTTAGGAGGAAATATAAGGAAAGTGGTCTTTATATCCCTATGGTCATAAAAGCCAAAAGTGCTTTTTAGTTAGTATAATCATAATCATTAAATAATAGGATAAAGTCCATGTGGTACGCGCCAAAAACTAAACTATGGTGGAGTATAAAGTGCCCTACCAAAACAGCAAGAAAACTTTAGAGCTAATATGTCTAAAATATAAAAAGAAATATCTTCAAGTGTCTACAAAATAATGCACAATTTCCTTGAGGTACTGTAGAGTAGAAAATTTAAAAGGATGTGCTTTTCTTTCTTCTTTTTTTTGTCATTGTATCCAGCGCAGTTAGTCTACGTCATCATCATGCAGCGCTAAAATGTCTACAACGTGGGCCCGTTCCAGATAGGTCGCTTGCAAAGTGTCAAAAGGTAATGAAAAGGGAATGCATGTACTTGCATATTGTATATGTATTCCTTGTGTATTTTATTTTCACAAGTAAGGTACCTCAAAGATCTTACTACCTAAAAAGTTTAAGTTTGCTTTATCTTATTTATTTTTTATTTATCTCTATTTTTATATAATCAAGTCGATGTCTATAAAATATTTTTAAAATAATTTAAAAACATTATTAACGGGACGTTGAATATTAAGTTTGCTTTCACGTCAACGGCTTAAAGCAATGGTGGTCTCTCTTTCTCGAAAAAGAGAAAATTTTTCCGAGTCACTCTCGTAGTGATATCGTATGCAGAAAGGATTTTTGTTATTATTTTTTAAGTAAAATTGTAATTTTATGTTGATAATTCATAATAATATTAATATTTTTATTTTACGAACATAAAACTTAAATTTTAATTAAAAAACAACATTAAAATTTTGTAAGAAATTATAATGAATTTCTGTCCCTGATAATAAATGGATGTTCACTGGAAACAGACGTAGTTAAGAAGATGGTCATAAATTAAGAGACACACTGGCTCTTTGATTAGACAAGTTATATAAGTATGCTATGATATGCTGTTTGGATCGGCTGGTTTTCGCTTAAATAAGCAAATATATGGAGATAGATGTTATGCAAAATGATCACTAATTTAAAAATACTAAAACATAAAAACAGAACTCTACAAGAAAAATAAGTGCTCAGAAGAATAACTCGAATAAATATGCAACAGAAAAAACAATTTATCTTAAAAAATGTTAGCCATCACTGATTGTTACTTGATCTAGATTTTTAATACCCAAGCGGATGGTTGCTCCTGAATCCTAGATGTTAATTAGTGTTACTGAATATTAATGAGAAAGAATGGAGTGAAAGGGAAGGAAGAGAAGATAAAATAAGGGAATCGAAATTCTTCTTTTAACTTGTGTCGCTCTTTTAATGTCGGAAAGAAGAAGAAACCCAACACCATGTAGAATAGAGAGTGCTAATCAAAGCGAAAGTAACGAATACAAAAGCTCGTGAATTCAAATCTATCCAAAGAAGACACACATAAAAAATGTTGTTAATATTACAACATGTGGCTTTTTTTATATGAAAAAAATAAATATCAAAATATGAAATTTTAGAAACAAATTCTGAAAATATAGAAAATTCTAGACAATTTTTGAGTTGAAAAAACTGACATTAAAAAATATTATTTATAACTTTTAACTGATACGTCTCTGAATCTCTTCTTCAATTTTATATTTTTATAATTTTTTAAAATATTATATTTTAGTATATGTTATTTTTAAATACTATTGTAAAAATTAATAAAAACCACAACATATCTAAATTGTTGATTTTCTAAAACTATTTTTTTACTGTGTATCATTTACGGTTTACAATTTTTATAGAAAAAAATAAATGCAAATAAAATTGAGGAGGAGTAATTAGTGGTTGTTGAAGCTTAAATGGGAATACGTTCCTTGTGTGGTTAGGAGAAAGAAAATGAAGATTTTAGAAGGGGAATTCACATGCCCTGACCTGGTTTGTTGTAATCGGATAAAGATGTCGTGTTTATCTCTCATGTGAATTGGGATTCGCCTCTAAATGGTATGACTTTTTGCGGCTTTTGAAAAGGCAGAAGAGTACGTGTGTTGGTCACACATCAGAGTAAGCATCGTGCAATTTTCAGTGGATATTGATTGAAGTTACATGCTCCTAATGGCATTTGCTATTCTACAGTTACACTATTACTTTTCGCACCAAACCCAACTTTCCAGGGTTCTCATGGATCTGTCGCTTACTTTTCCTTTCCATCAAATATTTTTTTTTTTAATCACATCTTTTGCAATATATTTGTTTCCTTTTCTTTATTTATATTTTATTTTACAGTCATTTAATAATCTTATTTGAAAGTTTGAACAGAAATAAATAAATAAATAAAATAAGTTTTAATACAAAACACTCTTAGACATTATATAGAACTTAATTTTAAAAAATAAGTTCATGCGATGTTTATTTATATTTTAAAAATTTTAGATAAGAAGAGAAGTAAGATTTACAGACCTTAAAATTTTATATTTTTAAATTCTCTCAAAGAACTGAATATTAGCCTTTCTTTTTTCTTTACTTTCTAAATATTTTTTAAAACTTCCAAACGAAATTTAAAATAACTTGAAATATAAAAAAATTTAAAATGATAATAAATCTTCTCATTTTTATCTAACAACTTCCAAACAACATAAATAATAATCACATAAATTTTTCTTTTTTCTTCTATCTCTCAAAAACTAACAAACTATGCTTAAAATACAATATTAAACAAATTATTTTTCAAATAAAATTTTAGAGTGCGGGTCCGGTCCCTTTTAGTACGCAACAATTTATTTTGACAGATTAGTTATTCTATTTCTTTACTAAAGGAATCTTTATATTATTAATTGAAAAGTGACCTCATTTCCAACTCATTTCTCTGTTTTATATTAGTAATGCGGACAAAGAAGCACCAATTTGCTCTATTTGTTAAAAATGGAGCACTTTTTCTTTGAGGCGCTTTCAAGCCTCTATTGTTTTTTATCCCCGGTCATCAAGTAAAACCCTGCCTTCAATTTTAAAACCAAAGAAAATATTAGCGTACGTTTTTCTACTTAAATAAGGCAATTTTTTCATAGATATAATGGTAATCTGATCCAAAAATCAATTTGATATTGAAATCGTATTTTTCAATTTTTCATTATTGTATTTTTTTTCAACTAAAATGAGGGGGATTTTTTTCATAGATTGATTATTTGTGATCTTATAGTTGTGTGAATTTTTTAAAATATCTCACATTTTATTTGGTTTAATGTCAAACCCCATAATATTATATTTATTCATTTTCCCACTTCTCTGACCCATTATACTTTTAGCGATAATAAAATATATGAATTCCTTTTCGCACATACTAAAAACTAGTGTTATCTTATAATTTTCATTTTTCCATAATAAGAAAAGTTTACTTTGACTAAATCTCAAAGGATGCGTTTGGTTGGAAAAAAAAAATGTCTATACCGAGATGTATCTATACTAACATGGTTCTTTTTGGATCCAATCTATTGTAATAAATTTGTGTACTCTTTTAGCTCTTCAATTTATGTCCTATGTGACGTTTATCGGTATATATTTTGCGTTTAGATTGAGCATTTAATTTCATTTATTAGTCGAAAGACTTTTTCAACACAAAAAAAAAAAAAATACAAATAGAAGATATTTTAAATGTTTTAGCGTTTCAATAATATAAAGACATAAGGTAATAATGCTTAATATAAGGTTAATTTTCTGATTTTAAGAAAAATATTAACTCTGATTTTCTTATAAAAATAAAATAGAGTAATTTTTAATTTCTATTATAAAAAAATGTATTAATTATTAAATTTTTATATATTTTTTATTAATATTATTAAATATATAAATTATTAATTATACACTGTTTAATATCATAGATATTCTTAAAATAAAATTTATATTTATAAAAATATATCTGACTGAATTTTTTTTTATAATTTAATTTTTTATTTCTTATAAAAATAATTAGAATTAAAAATATAATGAATAATCATTTGTTATCCTGCGAGCGTTTCGTCAGGCATCGGCATAATTCTTCGAGGTCTGTTTCACGTGTTTTGTATTATAACAAATAAGCATGACTTTAAAATGCCAGTTAATATGCTGATTAAGGAAGTAAAAATAAAAAATACCAGGAAAGTTATTCATTAATAAATTTAAAATATAAAAATCATTAACATACCCTTTTAAGTAATTTAAATTTTTTAAAATATTAAAAAAAGGTAAAGAAAGATATGCTTCCTACTTTGCATAGACCGATGAAGGATAAATTATATAAATGGATAAATTAAAATTATGCAAGTAGGAAGCATTGTTTTCTTTTCTTTTTCTTTTTTTCGGTGTAGGAAGCACAACTTTGATAGTAGAATAAGCAATATAATTTTTAGAAAATATTTTGTAAACATAAAATTGAGATAATAAAAATTTATTTTCTTTAATTATTTAAATAAAGGAAGCAAAAAATATAGACCTTAGATATCATCTGGACAGAAACTTGTCAATTGTTCCGAGAAGTTACATTGTCTTTCTTTTTTATAAACAGAAGCAACCTTTTCAAAAGATAATAAAATAGAGGAACAAAAGACAATCAAGTAACGACAAATAAAGTTGCAAGATGCCAAACAAAGTTGCAACATGCCAGCTCGATTAAAAAATAATTAAAAAATTTAGGTAAAATTTTTAATGTCATTTTTAATTAAAAATTGAATTTCATTTTAACTAAAAGATAAATATAATATCAAATAGAAGTTTCATTTGAATGAAAAAAATATTGAAAATATCAAAAAGATGTTTTAATTTTTTCCATAAAAAATTTACAAGAATTTTTTTATTCAACTAAAAATAGTCCTGTTTTAAAAGTAAATTTTTTTATTATTTACACATTTAATTAATATTTTCACATTTCGTTGTATCTATTTTATATACACTAGTGAAATAAAAATATTTTATGTTGATTAAAAAGGCTTTTGACATAAGTTAATCGACTAATGAAGATATAGAAAATTTAGAATTTAGTAAGCGAAAAGATATTTAATAAATGAAAATATTTTATATTTATTAATCAATTAATATATTTTTTAATTAATACTAATTAGTAATATTATTGTTTCTTAAATAATTTAGCAAATAACTTTTTAATAATGACAATAATATTAATATTTATTATCAATGTTTATTAATATTTATTTAAAATTTAATTTTGATTGAGTATATAATAAAAAAATATAGTATTTATTATTAATATTTTTTAATATTTATTAAAAATTTAATTTTTATTAAATTTTTAAATGAAAAATATACAATATTCATTAATATTGTATACCGTTGTTAATGAATAAAAAAATATAAAATGAAACATAATAAAATTATTAATATACTTGATAAGAATTTATCTTTTTGTCAATAAAATAATCAACAAAGCCAACAAAAATTTAAGAACGTAAGAGTTCATCTTTATTAATAACATAGCCAAAATCTTTAATAAAAACTTAAGAATATAAGTAGAAATTTATATTTGTTTCTAATTTATATTATTTTTTTAGTGCACAATCTCTAAAATATTTTATTTTAAACTAATTTTACATTAATTCTATAAATAATTAATATACAAAATATTTTTAAAATAACTAATTTAAAAAGTTATAATTTTTACTTTTTATATCAATTTAAAAAATAATCAATGTTACATTAATTATTTAGTAATCGACATAAAAATAATGTAAACTTTTATCAATGTAATTTTAAAAAGACATAATTTTTAATATAAAATTTTAATTTATGCAAATTATATATATATATATATATATTATATTAATTTTTGAAATATATTGAAAGAAATTTAAATAATTTAAAGAAATTATTGTTTTTCTATTTTTTACGTCAATTATTTTAATAATTAATGTTAAAAAATATCGTGATATTTTTTATTAACAAATGTAAAAATTCGTTATAGAATGATATTTTCTCCAGTTGTATTTTTTTCTCATATCACATCTAAATCTTTAATTATAGAGACATCGTACACGTCCTGCTCGGGTATCTCAAGAAAATGTTCCCAGAACATTGATTGGTTGTTATTTTGTTAATATATTTGGTGTCGCATATTAATGATAGATATTTTAAATGAAATTTAAATTCGTGCACCTTAAATAAAATCATTGTTCACAAAGTTAATTAGTTGCTAAATCATATCGCAGTTATGTAAAAAAGAGTTAATCTGGACTATTTGTTGTTTTATTATAATTGATAATCGTAAGTGACAGGCTGCAGCAGCTGCCTTCTTTTGCTCTCTTATTTCCAATATTTTTGGGAGTCCAATATTAATGAAAATTACTAACCATCAACACTTTCAAGAGAAAAGTAAAGGGCTTGTTAAAGTTTATGAAAATCTCACGTGAATTATAAATATGATTAGATAAAGCTTTATAAAAAGTAATATATTTTTATTTTACATGTTAACTTTCAAAGTTAAATTAAATTTCAAATCTAAATTTTAGATGTTACGGTAATAAATGTTCAATTGCATTGGAGCTCTTAAAAGAGTGGTATAAAACGAGAATGATAGGAATCAAAACAGTTAAAAGCATGTCGTTAAGCAAACCACTATAAGAGATAGGGTAATTAATAATTAATATGCTATTTATTTATTTGGTACGAAGATGGCAAGCACATAATAGGTTATTCGATGAAGTATTGAATATTTGACATCATCACAAGTTAGTTTTTTGAATGACTTTACTCAGTTTTGTTATAAAGCAACTTTACATACCATCACGAAGAACAATTCTATGAGGATTAAGCTAGTTAATCTGACAAGGCTTGATTAATGCAATTTTTTCAACACTTTTTTGTATTTTATTCTTTTTCCCTTATTGATATTTAAATAATTTCTTTTATTCATGACTTCTCTCTATATATCTTAACCTAAGATATAAGACCCCTTCAAAGTGAGTTAGTTGATGTTTAAAATACACAAGTAAAGATGTAATCATCTTTACATTTTAATAGGTTTGATTAGTAAAAAAATAATAGGTTAATGTTCGTGCAGAACACCCCAACACGAAAGTAACTAAGGTATCGGGTACATCATATTCATAAGCATGAAGACTCATAATATCTTTGGACAATAAATCCTTATAATCTTACTGTATCAGCTAAAATCTGATTGATCACTTGTTAGTAAAAGAAAAATTATTTTATTAATTAATTAGTATTTAAACTCATAAAATTATATTTATTTTAATTTTATATAAATATGTTTCTATTTTTTATTTTTTTAGTAAATATTAGTTTTTTTTGTGTAAATATTAAGTTTTTCTTAAACTTTCTCTCTCTAATGATATATATTTGGCTTATGAAAAAAATCGGCTTGATCATGATAAGCATTTTTTTGGGTCAATGATCAAGATCAAACTGTATCCTGTCTTATTCGGATGAGTAGCAGGGCCCTGTTTGAGATTAGGCCCACTTTTCTTGAGCATGTGATGAATGTCAGATACAGTTTAATATACAAAATATTTTTTTAAGGTATTAGAAGATTAATAAAGAAGATATCATCTTGAATATTTTTCAGTTTCTAAATCATAACCTATTACATATATTTACTTTATCTAATGTAAAAGTTATTAATAAGAAGATATTACAGTGATATCTAAGTTTCTGATTTAACACACCAGTTAACAGCCACAAGGTTTATGAGTTCTACAAGAAAAATCAAAGAAAAACCTTGCAGGCATTTATTTCAGTCTTATTATTGCCCCAAGTTCTCTCTCTCTACATCGGTTGAGGTTAGGTTCTGCTTTGTGTTTTTTGGTCAATGAGGTTAGGTTCTGCTTGAGTGTTTCACACGCATCTCTCTATTCCTCTCTTATCATACATTCCCAGCTTCTCTTTCTTCCTCTCCCTTTCATTAGTCACGTAAGAGCGTGGAGGCTAAAGATTTAGGTGATTTTTTGTTGTCCAAATATTCATGATCTTTTGTTTTTGGTCAAAACTTCAGTAGTTTTGGATCAAATGAATTTTGGGTTAAAACAACTTTGGGCTGCTCATGGTCCAAAATGTATCATGCCTATGAAAGTGGATTTTACGAACTTTAACTACCATTTTTAGGCTAACAACTGTCTTAATAGTTAAGAAATTAATAAATTAAAAAAATTAAAATTTAGAATATAGTTATATTAGTAACACTGAGTGTTATGTTTTTAATTTTATAATCATTCTTCTAAACTGCTTTTTGGTATAAGAAATGTTTTAACATTCTTTGAAAAGTGATATAGGAATAAAAGTTTTGCATGTTTAGTAAAAGATAAAAGGTTATTGAGAAGGGTAGTTTATAAATAAGATTAATTTCCCCCTTTATAGGCAATAAAACCTTTTTCATGATATTTGACTGTAAACTATTAAATTTTTGCTTGATCATTAAACCATAGTTATATCCTATATCCATAGGAAAGATGAATAATAATAAAAAATATTTTATTATTTTGAATCTTGTTTTTACAGTATCTAATTTTTCAGAAAATTAATTTAATTGAGACTGATTTTTTTAATGATTAGCAAGACCTATAAATAATAGAGATAAGTCAGTTCGCACAGCTCTTAATAAAGTAACGTGTACAATTTAACAAGTAATTAGTCTCTTGGGTATCCAACTCATCCCCAACAATTCAAAATGCCGATCACATTGCGATACTATTATTAACATGTATGAAAAACCGATGCGGCACTCAAGTTAGTTTAAGGGAGAAAAACATGATATTGGAAAGAATATGTTTAATATTCTTGTTCTTAGAAGCATGTCTGATAATAAAAATGCATAATGTAATACTCAATCTAAAATTTCATAATAGTTTTTACTACAAATTTATTTTTAATACAAAATTTTACTAACATAAATTAAATTCACTTCTTATTTAAAATTAACTTTATAAAATCAAATTCACAACCATTCACCCTATATCTTCAACTTATTGAACTCAGAAGATTTGTAACCTATCCTTTTTCATCATATAAAGCAAAAACTCATTCCACGTATCAACAGGGCCTGGCATGCACCAATGAACGCAGTCATTGATGCTCACATTTTTATGCATATTATGCCCATATTTATGAGGATGTCCGTCAGGCCTCATCAGCATCACCTCAGTTATATTCATCAAAATAAAACGCAAACCTTTCTCCATTGCTTCCTTTTCTGCTGCTCTAAATTCCTCCACTTGTGTTTGATACATATTCTCCAAACCATATGGACGCAAGAACTTTTTTTCTTCCTTAGCAACGGGCATTGTTCTATTACAACCCCCTCCTTTATTCCACTCCCCATTCTCAAAGTGATTTGGAGAATGGGTCACCAAAAATACCAACCCCTTAAACCCTTCAAGATTTATAATAGTTCTGAAAGCTGTTCTGAATGCATTTCTGTATCCATACAAGTTAAGTGGGTCTGTCAAGTTATTGCATTTTTGACATCCAACAACTTGACCATTTTCGTAGAATGTTAATGGTCGAAAAAACCATTGTCCACCTGAAAAAATTACGTAGTCAAAATTTTCAATGCGACTAGCCCAAGCTGAATCTGCCTCATCTATATAAAGGTTCTCGGCATTGTAGAAGGAAGTATCATTGATGTATGTTTCGGAGGATTTGACTAGGAAGGGAGACCATAATATTGTGACAGTAAAACCATAATCAGCATAGAACCACCATTTGAAATATTTGTCGTCCTTCGATGTATATTTGTCTGTAATGTCCTCAGGACGAGCAACCTGAAAGAGTAGTTTTACAGAAAATTTATTGAAATGGCCAAAAACATTTGAGTTCCAAAACATATGTATTTGCAGCATGCATGTTTAAAGAGTAAATATGCTAATTAGTCCTTAAAATTATATTTTCCATTCTTAATTTTTTTTATATAAAACTTAGTCGCTAAATTAATCCTAGCTTCTTGTATATGTCAGACTGCTAAATAGGGGTAGGCTGTGAACTAGGGTGAAGCTATTTTTTTTTCTTCAACTATTAATCGAAACACATAAATGTCAAAAATAACTATGAGCTAGAAATTATGATGATTATTCTAACATCATAATTTTTTACATCTTATTCGTACACTTATCTTTTTAAGGTAAAAATTGAGAAAAATTATTAACAACACTCTTTTAAACTTATTCTATAATAACTTTTTGTAATTAATCTATTTTTTAAAAAGTAAAATATTTTATCTTATAAATTAATTACTTTATTAAAATTGTTTGAATTTTCTAAAAAATAAAGCAATCACAAAAATATATTAAAATTATTTTAAAATATATATTATTAGTATTTCTCATTGAGAAATAGCTAAGTTTATCTCTCACCTTTACACCTAACGATCGTAAAATTGAAATCATTACCGCTAGAATATTACAAGTGAAATCTTTTCGGTTTTCATTTCATTTCAACCAGTTAGTATTGGAAGCTGAATTAAGGTAGTATTTGACTTTAATATTTAAATAGGAACGAATTCTTTTTCTCCTCAAAATATTGACTTTAATTGATTACTTTGAATAGTGAAACAGTCTAATAATAAAATGTGAATGATTCAATTTAAAATACTCTAGGTCGAGTTAAATTAATATAAATTTAATGCTTAAACTAATTTGTATAATAATACTTTATACAAAATTCAATTAGGAAGTTTAAATTTCTAATCTGATCTAATGAATATACTTAACGCCATTTATTAAACTATAAATTTATATATGCTTCTCAACCAATTTGATAAAAGATACAATAAATCGGTATTTTTACCAAGTTAACAGAAGGTCAAATTTAACAATACTTAACATTATTAATGTATCTCAATTCATAGGTTAATGCTGCAACTGTCGCAAGTGATAAAATAATAACTTTTTAATCTGTGTTTATACACAATAATTTAGATATAATAATTTTTTATTAAAATTAAAAAAATAATATATTAAAAATTAGACAATAATATTAATTGATATAATTTTTAATAAAATTTTATTATTATTTATAAAAAAATTTATACTCTTAGACATACATTAACAAAATTGATAAAATAATTTTTTTTTATCACTGTTATTACTACTTTTCAAGTTAATGGCATGCAAAAGTAAATGGTTTATTATTATTATTATTATAACAGAGTCACGCAATCCATTTTTTTAAAAGAATAAAAAAAGGGGAAAAAACTCAAGCTAAATAAAATTTAAATATTCCTCAAGTTTTTATTTTCTTTCTAATGAAATATTAATAATTCATTCAGTGTCAACATTTTAGTAAGAAGTTATTATTAGAGGAAACATAACTTTTTATTAAATTACCATAATGAAGGTAGATCGCAAGAGAGTTTCAACCCCAATTAGATTTGGGACGTTAGAGTTAAAAATATTCATGAATCAATTCAAATCATTTTAAATTACCAAATTAATTTAAAAAATGAAAAATAATTAAAGTATTAATTCCAATAGGTAAAAACTCAAAAGATTGAACTTTTACGTAATTTGATTTATTTTCTTACGTATAAAATGAAACTAAATTAAACTGAATCATACACCTTTTAACATAATTTATATAAAAAGGTTTGCCTTAAACACTTATTTTATCTTATATTTTATTTTATTTTTATCTCTCTTTTTGTTGTAAATTGCATGAGAAATTTGTGAGAGATTGGCATTACTCATTTTAAAATGCTTTAAAAAAAAACAAAGAAAGCAAAACGGTATTCTTAAGAAGATACATACCCTATTTAGGAGGCACAACAAGGACTCCATTTGATTTCTCCCAATTGAGTCTCCAACAAAAGCCATTGACTTTCCCCGAACAAGCTTCAAGAATTGAGTTGCATCAAATAGTGGAAGCTCACATTCGTCAGGTTTCCATCGCCATCTGAGGAACTCTCTGTCAGGTCTCCCATGCATGAAGCAATTCTGCTTGTCCGTTATGAAGGGACACGTTTCATTATTGTAGTAAGGTTTTTTGCTATAAGGAACCCAATTTCCAGAAAATATATCACATCTCATGCTTTCTGTGCTTACCAAACTACCCGCATATATCTCATAATATGATTCATTTAAACTTATGATCAGTGTAAGGAGTACCGCCACAACAAGCAGAGTGAATGGTAATAGGAAAACCCCTTTGGGAATGTTTCTTGCAGCACACTTGCATTTCAAAAGCTCCATTACCTCAATTTTCTTAAAATTTAAGCTTACAAAATATAAAATAAAAACCTTTACTGAATAGCTGTTTTATTTATAGTGCCAATCCTAGAGCTCGGTCTTGTTGCTTAAACTATGTTGCAATCCTAGCTTTAAATAGCGCATATAAAAATAATGAAAAGAAACAATGCATCATGTCAATAAAATTTGGTATAGGTTAGTTGGACTGGGCTTGTCTTGGTAATTACACTACAGCTCAATAATTTAGGCTTATAAAAAAATAAAATTACACTGCAGCCCTCTGTTCTGAACTGCTTAAGCACTACTATAGTACTTTGTCCTACGTTAAGAGAGAATAATAATGATATTAATATACTTGGCACATGAAGATGGAGAGTATTGAGTTTTAATCGTACTTTTAATTCGGTGTTTGATTGTATTTGATTTTAGGTTCTCCGTCACACTCAAATTATTAAACTATGACAATATATTCAGCCAACAAAGAGTTGACAGGATTTTAAGCCATCTGAACTCGAGGTTAATTTTTTCCTTGAAATACGGGTATGTTTATTTTTCGTTAAAATAGAATTTAGATACCTCGTGCGCAATTGGTGGATTTAAAACTATCGTAAAGATAAGTGGATCAACGTCCCGTGATGTGATGAGATTAGTCGTTGAGTGTGGGACACTTGAAAGGCTTATTAATACCTGCACATAGAAAGGAGAGAAATTATACAAGGGATTATATAACGTCATGGGAAGAGAAAAAAAATTATAAATTAGAGTTGGGAAATAAAAAGTCAGAATCAGCCCACTGCTTCACGTTAACACTAACTTTAGAATGCTTAAAAATCATGATTTAATTTCAATTAATTTGATGTAGAAATTAAGGCTATTCGAAAATTTTCCACAAAATAGATATTATGTTCTCGTATGAACATAAATAAAATTTGAAGAAAAGAAAGGCTTTAAAATTAACTTTATTTTCTTATTTTATGAAAATTGTAAAATAATTTTTTTTTCAAATTATATCAAATCGTATTTCATAGTAATAAATATTTAATTTATAAAATAAAATAAAATAAAGACAGACAACAACTCTAAAGAATTGATACGTGAAGCTTTAGGGACGTGGGAATGTGGTTTTTACGGCATCATTGGTGCCTCAGATAGTATCCATGGAGCGTTGGTGCCATATATTACGCATTGAAGGTTTAAGGATGTGCTCTATTACTCACATTGATTTTGTAAGTTACTAGTTAACTTCTGTAAAATTGTATGAAAGAACACATTTTAAGGCATAAGGATGCAACTTTCACAATCGCAGCTTCCCACGTTATGGACAAGCCAAACTTAGGTCACTTAGTTTAGCTCGGTGGTGTAAGAAATCACAGGCTCAGATAATTCTGCAAATTATCATTCCTGGAATTTAAAAGCCCAAAATATCTATTTGGGCTGGTTTGGATTTGCTTGCATTTGATATTTTGTTATTCGAAATTGAAGTTGAAGAGGAAAATGTGTTGTATGGATTAAATGGGTATGCTTAATTTGGTCTAAAAAAATTCTTTCTTTATTTTTGGTTTGTCAAAAGCTTATTTAAGTGTTAAAAAAATTATCACAATTTTTTGTTAGCATATGTTACTATTTTAATCTTCGGCTAAGACGAGAAAATTACTAAAAAAATAGAGGTGAGTATAACTACTCCCAATCAATTTATAAACTAATCAAATACTAAATATGAATTTGAATAAAAATCATTTTAATTCAGATTTTAAATTTGTTATGCCAATGTACCCTTTATAATTGACCAAGAAAATGTGACTAAACCCTCATTTTGGTCATGAGAGAGTTTGCGCATTACATTTTAGTCTCTAAAAAGTTTAAAATATCATGGTAATCTATGACTTTTATCTCCATTGTGCATTTACGTCCTTAAATATAGATGTCGTTAATAGACAGTAACAGAATGTTGATATGTCACGTTAAGTGACACGTGTTATTACTTACGTGGCAAAAACAACGTCGTATGTGGTATAATATATGTTTTATTTCATTTTAGTCATTAAAATTATAACTTGTTAGACATTTTAGTCCCTGACATTGTTACCGATAGACATTTTAGTCCCTGAGATTGTCACCGACGAACATTTTAGTTCCTGAAAGAGAGAAAGAAAAGAAGGGTAGTGGAAGTTTTGTTGAAAGAGGATATGGTGGAGGAGATGATAGAGAAGGTTCATATGGAACTACATTTGGAAGATGGTTGGTGACTTTGTAAGAAGGGAAAGAAAACGGAAAGGAAGAGGGATTAAAATTCTTGCACTCGTCAAATGATAGAAAAGTCATATTGAACCTTTATCGTTGTCCTAACCCATTATAAACTGCAACATCATCAAAACCAGTCATTGTTGTTTAGAACTCAACGCATCATCTTTAAGTTACACCCATGTAATAGATTGCGCTCATACTAATAACAACTTTATCACTTAAAACTTAAGATTTTGTGCTCAAGTGAAATCCAAATACTAGATATGAATACATGTATATATACAAAGGAAAATTATAAAGAAGAAGAATGTGTAATCACATTCATACAAGAAGAAGCTAAAGAAGATCTGAAGGAAAGATATGAAGATGAAAACAAAACAAACCCATAAAGCAACGAGTTATAACCTCAAGGACTAAAATATCCGTCGGTGACAATTTCAAGAACTAAAATGACTGATGAGTTATAATCTCAAAGATTAAAATAAAACAAAAATATATACTATACCACATACGACATCGTTTTTGTCACGTAATCAATGACATATGTCACTTAACATGATACATCATCATCGTTTTGACATGTAAGCAATGACACGTGTCACTTAACATGACATGTTAACATTCTGTTATTGTCTATTAACGACGTCTAAGTATAGGGACTTAAATGCCCGACAGATATGAAAGTCAGGGACAAATGTGATATTTTTAATTTTTTAGGGACTAAAATGCACAATGTAAACTCTTTTGGGAACCAAAATAATAGTTTAGTCAAGAAAATGTGGTAAAAAGTCAATCATTCACTTTACTAAGGACATTCATCGTCAATGTTGATGTCTTCCCCACCAAAAGAAACATTGCTAGATTCAATGTGAATGCACAAAATAAATTCATTCCAAAAATAACTAAATCAAATTGAAATCTCAAACTCTCCCTCAAAATTAAGAATTCAACAAAGATCTATGGCACAATAAGAAACACCAATTAACAAGAAACAACATAGTAAGGAGAAGTGATAGAATTAAGTGTAATAGCTTTAGATTATAACGAGCCTAATAGCTTTGAACGCAATAACACTGAGCTAAAGATTAATGCCCCACATGTTAAGGTGTGCTTCACTGTAAGCGACAACACTGAGGGAGATGGGGAGCATGTTGATCATGGTGTTGCTTTTGTAGGATTTCTTTTTTGAAGAGAACGTTAAGAGAGCAAATTACAACAAGCATGAGAACTTTGAGCATTTGAATGAATGAAACATAGAGGTATATGTAAGCAACATTGGAAAGCCAAATAGAGAGACTTTGTAAGCGTATGTTTGTAAGTAATTTCTTATTTTAATCTAAAAAATTTACTTATATGAAAATAATGCACTAAGTTGGTAGTTAAAGTTAATAGAGATGGTTATTGTAGTGTAATCCAAAGTTACTGTAGTACAAACTCTTTGTCTTTGTACCCCATTTAGTGTGCGACTTGCTTCTGTATATAAATACATGTATATCAATTCTTGATACATTAATGTGGATAATAAGATAAGTTTTCCTATCTTATTTTTTTTTACTCTGTGTGTATTGATTTTATTTTCTAACAAGTTGGTATCAAGAGCTTATGATGATGGGTTTTAGGATGTGTTGAACATTGTAAAACATGACTATTTGGATATGAATGATGGTGATTCATATGTTTAGAAGGCTACTTACAAGGAGAACAAGAAAAAAGATTACAAGGTTATGTTCTTGCTACATCAACTTGTTGACATAATCAATTTTGAAAAGATTACAATTGCAATTGCTATAAAACAAGCCTTAGAAATTTTGAGAAAACCTTATAAAGATCTACCTAACTTAAGAAAGTAAGTTTACAAATTATGAAGAGGCAATATAAGTTGTTGCAAATAGAGTCCAACAAGAAGGTTACAAATTACTTCAAAGGGTGATTAGGCTCACTTAAACAGTGTATTTTTGTTTAAGAAAAATTGTTTCACTAAAGCGAAATAAGTAAAAAGAAAAAGTGATTTTTACTTAAGCAAAATAAACTGAAAAAGTGAGAGAGAGGAAGCTAGGAGGGGGAAGAGAAAAGGACTGAAAGAGGGTTTTGTTTTCACTTGAGGCAATTTTTGCTTAAGCAAAAATGCACTGCAAGCTACAGTACACCAAAATTGTAGAGAATCTATGTCTGTTGGAATATTAAAATTCATGGATCCAAAACCAATGTGTCTGCTATTCTTGAAAATTATCAAGTTGTAGAAAATCAAAATAATAAGTATGCTCTTAATCAATCTCAAACAACATATCTTGTAAGGTTGATCTAGTTCATTTAACATGATAACTGATGTTTAACCTATCAATTTTAAGGAGAGTTTAATCAAGCATGAGTAAAAAGAAGTTATAAAGAATAATTTAAAATTTATTAAAATAAACCAAATCTAGGAGTTGGTCAAACTTCCTTCTTCAAAGCAACTAATTGTTATCAAAGGAGTGTTTAAGGTAAAACACAAATTAGACAGGTAAATACAAATCATGTTAGTTGCAAAAGTTTTTTATGCAAGAATTAAATCTTGTTTATTCAGAAGTTTTTGTACCAGTACCTAAACTTAGAATTGAGAGATTAATGGTTACATTAGCTAACTTTAAAGATTAACAACTAATTCAACTTAATGTGTTAGCCTTCCCTAATGATCCACTTGAAGAAGTGACATAGGTAATTCAACCTCCTAAATTTGAAATAAAAGGAAAAAAAGTTTTATTTCAAATTTTAAAAATTGACACTATGACAAAGTCTTTAAAAATTAAACCATTTAAATAACTAAAAAAAATGTTAAAAGTTGTATCTTTAGAAATATGAATTAAAAAAAAATGTTGTGATGTAATTCAAAATTATAGTTTACTATAAATGCAGTGCAAATTCTTTATACATTGTATTTAAAAAATAAATTTAGAAGGATAACTTTTTTAAGGGCAAGTATAAAAAATAAAATAAATCTCTTAAAATACAAACACAAAACAATCTTGAAAGGTTAATAATATGTTTAGAAGCAAAATTGTTTTTTTTTTTTAAAGAGAAAATGACATTTTTTTAAATTGTAAAAATTATATATCATTTATACTTATAAATATATAATTAATACATTAAATTTATATCAATATATTAATTTAAATTTTTTATTAAAAAATTAAATTTAAATATATTTATTTAAAATACACAATTTTTCTTTTCCTCCTCACCTCTCCCCTCCAAAGCATTCTCGCTCAAACAGCCCCAACAATTAATAATACATATTATTATACCATGTCTCCGTTTTCACTATGCAGTTTCATCATATAGAGCAAAAACTCATTCCAAGAGTCAACGGGACCTGGCATGCACCAATGGACACAGTCATTGATCGTCACAGTTTTATCAACCACTTTCCCATATCTATTGGGGTGTCCATCAGGCCTCATCGCCATTGGATCAGTTATATCAATCATTCCAAAATACAAACCCTTTTTTCTGCCTTCCTTTTCTGCTACTGCAAATTCCTCCACTTGTATGTGATGCAATGTCTCCAAAATATCCCCATTTTTATACTCTCGTCTTTCTTCCACGGTAAAGGGCTTTGTTCTATTACAACTCCCTCCTTCATTCCACATCCCATTCTCAAAGTGATCTGGAGAGTGAGTCACCAAAAATGTCAACCCCTTGAACCCTTTAAGATCTCTTATTGTTCTAAAAGCCGTTCGGAATGCTCTTCTATATCCATAGAAGTTAAGCTCTGTCATGTTCTTCTCGCATCTTTGACACCCAACAACTTTCCCATTTTCGTAGAATGTAAATGGCCGGAAGAACCATTGTCCAGTTGAGAAAATCACATAATCAAAATTTTCAACTTTACTTGCCCATGCTCTATCTGCCTCATCTAGATAGAGTTCTGTGGCTCGGTAGTAAGAACTTGCATTGAGATCAGCGTCGATGGATTTGACTAGAAACGGAGACCACAACATTGTGACTGTTAAATTGAAATCAGCACTGAACCACCATTTGAAAAACGTGTGATTTGTATATCTAGCAGTAATATCCTCAGGATGAGCAACCTAGTAGAGTAACGAAGAAATCATTGCATTTAATGAAACTATAATAAAAAATGGAAATTTTTATAAGGTAATAACCAATAAGGGGGAATATAAACCAAGTGAATGAGATTTCAAATTGGGCTATTATCCTATAAACCAGAAAAGCAATAAGGGATTAATTACTTACACTATTTATAAGGCACAGCAATGACTCAACCTGATTTCTCCCAATCGAGTCACCAACAAAAGCCATGGACTTTCCCCTAACAAGGTTCAAGAATTGAGTTGCATCAAATAGCGGAAGCTCACATTCATCGGGTTTCCATCTCCATTTGAGGAACTCCCTGTCGGGTCTACCATGCATGAAGCAATTCTGTTTGTCTGTTCTATAAGGGCAGGTTGAATTGCTGTAATAAGGTTCTTCAGGATAAGGAGACCAAGTTCCAGAAAATAAGTTGCATCTCCTTGTTTCTTTGTTTTCCAAGTTGTTTGCATATGTCTTAGAATATCTTTGATTCAAGTTTCTGATCAGAGGAAGGAGTAGCACGACAAGAAGTAGAGTGAGAGGTAATAGGAACACACCTTTGGAAATGTTTCTTGATGCATATTGACAACTGAACATGTTCTTCGCGGCCTCAAATTTCAGGGCTTAGGTGACTCCTGAATTAATCATCAAATGCCGTGCTTAACTTGTGCCTTTCAACGTGTGTGGAATATGGAACTTTCAACTTGTGCAAATAACAACTAATTAAAAGTGCTAATATATATTAATAACATTTGGAACAGGCCGCTTGCTAGCTGGAGCTCAATAAGTACAGCGAAGGCTTCTTTTTCGCTGATGGTTATGCATATCTTGTCCCCTCAAAGGCAGCTACTACCAAATAAATATTGATTAGTAGAGAGAGACTACAATTATATATATATTTGGCACAATTTATAAGGAGTGAATTTAACGGTAAGTTGCACAAATGACAATTAATTAAATATTACTCGAGTTGTATGGGAAGGGGTTTCGATAGACGAGGGCAAAGGTCAATTTTTTATTTTAAACAAATATATTTAACATTAATAATTTTTAAAATAAATATATATAAATTAATATATTGATAAAAATTTAATGTTTTAATTATATATTTAAATGTATACAATTCTCTTAATTTAAAATTTAAAATTATATATTTCCGATCTTTTTCTTTAAAAAATTATTTCCTATTCGAACTTTGTAGGACTGTTATTAAACAGTTTACAAAGGTAAAGAGTAAATAATAAAAAATATGTTTAAAAAAATAAATAATATTATTTATTAAATTGTAAGAAACATTTATCATAAAAATAATATTAAATATAAATTATATTTAAAATTTATAAAATACTTAATAATGAAATCATTTTATTTATAATAATTATAGAATACTTCATTATAAAAAATTATATTAAATATAATTTTATAAAGTTAATCTCTTTTTATGAATATTTTATTTATCTATTTATATGTAATATATAATTCAACATTTTATAAAGTATTTTTTTATGTATTTTTTAATCATAATAGTTTTCATTATTTTTTAATTTCAAAATAAATTTTGATAATTTTTATGAATATAATTAATTATAATTTAATATTATTTTTTAAAAATTACAAGTATCGTTCTAGTGTTTAAAACAATTCAATTTACCGACGTTCAAACATTAAAACCACAAATTAAGTTATAACAACATTTTGTCAATTAATTACATGCTTAATAATATTCTAAAAGTTATTTAAACTTATCTTATTAATTCTAATTTTTTTTATAAATTTGAATAATTTTTATAAATTACGTATAATCAATTTGCATTATGTTTAAGCTATTTCTTTTTATAAAACACTAATTTAGTAACCATAGTAATGCATTGCTATTATATTTTAGAATAAATACACATATAACTTAATGTTTAAAGACTAAAATTTCATATTTTTAAATAGTTATATAAACATAATAACATTATTTCATATAACAATTTTCAAAATCATTTTGAATTAATTCTAATAATAACAAATATTATGCATTAAAAATGATAAAGATTTAATAAAATTAAATAATTTTAAAATATAGTTTATTTTGAAATAATTTTTTTATTAATAACGGGACAAAATGCCCAAACAAAACAAAGATTACATAGACAAATTGAAAAAAAAAATAATTCTCCTATCATTTTCTTTGAGGATGTGAACAAGTTGGGAGGAGGAAGATTCTAAAATAAGATTACTTTCTGACCTATTAAAAGTCCATATAGCTAGTCAATCCACACAATGATTAGCTTTCTTAAAAAATATAATAAAGATCGACAATTCTCGTGAAACTTTTAATTAAAGAGATTTTTCTAATAATATAATACAACCTATTATTTATGGAAATGTAAGATTTAACTAATATAATGGGTAGTTTAGAATCTATTTTAACTAAAACTCCCTCTAATTTGAGGTCTCTAATCAACCTAAGATCCAGACGAAGAGTTCATAACTCTGATACAATGACTGAATAAGAGCCAAGCTTCTTGATAAAATCAACAGAAAACTTTTCTTGATCATCCCTAACAAGACCTCCACAAGTAGCCAACCATTGATTACCATAGATAGAGCCATCTACACTAAGCTTAAATCTACGAAAAAGAGAAGGAGATCAGCCGACAAGAATCTCCTAGTTGCAAGTTGTAATGTCCCGAATTTTGGTAATATTAATTATTATTATTCTTATATATATATATATATATATATATATATTCATATGTGTGTTGATTTATTTGAAAATAATGTTTTATGTGTATTAAGTACATGGATGTGTGTATATATGTGTATGTATGACTGGATAGGCTGAAAATGGGCTAAGTGTCTAAGTGCGGGGCGTAACATTGGGCTGTTCTCGCTGCAGTGAGAGGATTTTCGCTGTTGCGAGAAGGCACTGGAGAGGAAGGACCAGAACTGTCGCCTTCTCGCTGTAGCGACAGAGCGACAGTTTGGGGCACAATTCTGGGTGCAATCTCGCTGTAACGAGAGGATCTCGTTGTAGCGAGATTCTGCAGAAACTAGAATACAATTTTCTCTTATTTTTCGCTGTAGCGAGAGTGTTGCAACTAAAAAAGGATTTAAAGGGGGTTAGGGTTCGGGGAGAGTTATTTCTCCCTCTCCCTTCGAAATTTCTTTGATCCTCTCATTTCTAAAGCCCTATTCCACCGATTAATTGCTTCAAAGTCATTCGAGAGTTTGATTGAAGGTTGAATTCGTGTAGGGAACGTTTGGAGGTAAGTTTTAATGGTTAGAGTTTCAATTTTTTATCCCCCTTTCTCTATTTTCATGGTTTCCCTGGGTTCTCATGGAGTTTCTCCATGTGTTTAGGACGAAATCCGTGAGGGGAAGCACTTCTTAGTGGATTTAGCGCGTGGAACGTCAATCTAGGGTAAAAGGGGACTCTATACTATTCTATTATATGTGATTTGCTGTTAATTGTTGAATGTTGTGATGTAACTAAGTTAGAGGATAGAAAATTGTTGAGAAATATGATGAGGGCCTTGTGCCGTGAGATGTGAATATTGTGTGTTTACCTGAAATGGACAAATGTGAATTGTATGCTTGATGTTGCATGATAGAATGAATATTGTGAGCAAATGTGGGCTCGAGGGTCGTGTAATATAGATGAATGTTGGCTACGTGTCGTGTAATGTGAAATGAATGTGGGCTAGTGCTGTGTATTTGAATGTAAGGTGAGCTGTGTGCCGTGTGTAAGCATGATTATTGCATGCGTGAATGAAATGTGTGCGAATGGGCGTGTTAGCGTCATTGTAATGTGTTGTGAATGGTTCAACGATATACTTAAAGTAGGGATGGAAACAGGCCAGGCTTTACTCTAAACAGGCCTAACCTGTAACATAATTATTAGGCTTAAGCTTGACCTGTTACCTGTTAAAGGCTTTATTTTAGGCCTGACCTGCCTGTTTAAGTGGTCTGGCCTGGCCTGAAGCCTGTTAAAAAAATTATTAATATTAATAAAAATATAAATATTTTATTATTAAATTAGTTTATAGATTTTTCTAATTTCTATCTATGTTCTTAATAATTATTAAATAATTATAATAATATTTATATAATTTTGTAAATAATTTTTAAAATATTATTTAAGTATTAATTATAAATATTTTATATTAATAAAATTTATATTTATTTATTTATTATTTATTTTTTAAAATTATATAAATAGTAAATATTTTAGTTTTATTTTAGAAACATATTTTGTTTATATAAAGATATCTTATATTCAACAAATAAAGTTATAGTAAATACATAAAATTGATAAAAAAAAAAAAATAACATTCACACAGTTTGTTGAATCAATTAAAAGAAAATTATATGTTTTAAAAAAAATAAATTTAAACTTACTGCAATATATATATATATATATATATATATATATATATATATATAATGACAATAATAATAACTATTAAATTAAAAAAAATAATTACAAAAATAACACTTATAAAATTTATTGAATCAGCTAAAAAAGTTATTATATTTTAAAAAGTAAACAAATATCATCATTATAAAAATTGTAGATGATAAATACTTATATTATAAAATTCATAGATGCAGAAAAATAGCATATGAGCATAGGAAGAATTATTAAAATTTATATTTAAATTAAAATAACTTATATTTCTAAATTTTTAACTTAATTAAAAAATATATGATAAAACTTAATATAAAAATTTAAACTTAATGTATTATATATATATAAAATGAAAACAATAATAACTATTAAATTAAAAAATAATTACAAAATATTTAATTTTATTTATCTCATTAATTTTTTATTTTAAATTAACAAATAAATGTAAAATTAACTACACTAAATATTAATGTAATATAGAAAATATTACTAATACAATAAATTAAAACACATACTTATAAATTACATATAAATTGATAAATTGACTAATAATTTAATTAAAATATATGCAAGTTATAAAAATATATGTTATTATATAATTTATTTATAATTATATTATTTATATTATTTGCTACATGGTCTGATTATATATATATATATATATATATATATATATTTTATAATAAGTTTTTTATTTTATTTTGTTATCATTTTTTTATAATTTTTTACTTTCAAATAAAATATAATTCAGATTTAAGCAATCTCTATTTATTATAAATAAAAAGAATTATAATATAATATATTAATATAATAATTAAATAATTAAATAATTAAATTAATAATAATAAAATTAAGAGTATAAAAAATATGTTAATATAATTTTATTATTTTATTTTTAAATTTTATTTCGTTTAGTTTTGATTACGTCTTATTCCTGTTCAGAAACTTAACTATTTTTTAAATTGTTTAAATATAATAATTTATTATTAAATAAATTTATTATTTAAAAAGTGTAATCATGTATAAATATTTTTAATTTTTAATATAATATAATTTCTGTTTATTATAATTATAAATAAATAAAATTATAACAGAATATATTAATTCAATAATAACAGAATTAAGAATATAAAAATATATTATTAAATAACTTTATTATTTAAATATATTTTGATAACTCTATTTTTAAATTATATAA